CACCTACCTCGCTAAAAGAGCGCTGTGATTGGCCCAACAAACCATTAAAGCACTGTGATTGGAACGCCACGGATGTCAGTCAAAGGGGCAGTCCGCCATTACATAAAAAGAAGTAAAACAGCGTGCCAGCACGAGACAAGCACAGAACAGTAGAGATCACTGTTGTGGCTGTGTGATAGCAGACCGGAAATAGAAAAAAATCTTGAGACATAAATGCAGATTACCAGCCCTTAAAGAGAAAATTAAGTTTTCTATGAACCATTTTGAGTTTTCTAATGAAAAATGTACTTGCCTGTAATTGTTTCCTGTATATTATTATTATCACACACGATTTATTAAAGGAAAACTTACAAAATAATTAAGTAATAAATAAAACTTGAGTTTTCAGACAAAAATTTCACATTGATGATGTATTCTCTTATTAAATCCCACAAAACTAGATGGTACTAGACTAGTAGTAAAGTATTGGTATCGGTATCGGCAATACTGGTCCTGTATTTACTTGGTATCGGCTCGATACCAAATTTTGCAGTATCGTACAGCACTAGTGGCTACATCGTAGCTCATCATCACCAGCGTGTGAATGCGTGTGTGAATGGGTGAATGACTGATTGTGTTATGAAGCGCCTTGGGGGGTTACAGAACCCTAAGAAAGTGCTATGCTATACAAATACTGGCCATTCACTATTTTTGTCTTTTAAACTGTGTCTGTAAGCAATTGGACAGCGCTGAAACAATCAGAATGACAAACAACGTGACATATTCATCTCTCTGGAAAATAGTCAGTGGGGCAGTACGCCATATATCTACAAAGAGGAAGAAGCAAACACGTTGTTTTTCAAAATAAAGGAGTTAAGTACCTCTATCTGCTCATGTCTCAAATTCTAAATGGTCCAAAGTTGATGCCAAAGATGTTTAACACAAGCGCTGTTCCAGGCACCATCTTTGTGGTTTTTCTCCGTCGCAGCTTTAGTGCTAAGCCCGCCCAACATCTCTCTACCAACACAGAGCGCTGTGATTGGCCAGACCTAAACGCAGACCTACTGAGATGAATCGAACACAGCAGGCCGGACTGCAGAGGTAAATTGTTATGGCCACCAGCCTGGCCTCTGCAGGTGGAGGAGCCATGATCACCCAGCCCCGGTGATCAGCCCGACACCGCCCCTCCTCCCCCTCCTCTCTTCCGGGCTGCTGAGGAGCACAGCTGAGCTGAATCCTTCTGATGACCCAGACCTGGGATAAAAAGGCTGTGCCTTCAGCAGTCTGGGAGGCAGCAGTGCAGGGGTTCTGCTGTCCTCCAGGCCTCATTTTGTTTTCAACCCCTTTGTTTGTGATGAGTTAACTTCTAACGTTTTAACTCTGAGTTAATGAGTTTTAAAGGGTGAAACTCTGAGCTATCCAAAGGTATCTTTGGTTGATGTCAACTTGGTTGACTCTGTTTTGGTTTTTAGACTTTTATCAACTTCGTTGCTTTTAAAACACTCAGTTTTGGTAAAACTTTTAATACCATTTTAACCAGGTGTTTTATATAGTTGATAAGTTGTCTTTTGACTGTTAATCTTATAGTGAGAAATGTTTTGTTTAGCATTATTGTAATAATGCTCACCATCTGTTTGCACTTGTTTTTAGAACCTTTTATGACAATTAAACCCATTTTAAACCCACTGTCATGTCTTATGTTCGCCTCTCCTTCACATTTTAACACCTCCTGTCGGGGACATAACATAAATCTTTTGCTATGTGTTCTCCTCTTGCTTGTGCAACACCCGGTCTTTGATGCTTCCTCATGTCAACCCGAGCTCCTTGTATCCTCACACATCATTGGCGATCCTGAGCGGTCCTGTCGGTGAGCTGCTCATAGTTTCTAGAGTGACGTGTTTGTTGTCACCAAGCACTCTGACTCTGATGCGCCACAGCCTCTCCTGTGGTAAAACAATTCCTCAGGATCTTTCCATAGTGTTGGTCCTGTTAGCAGACATGCCATTAGCAGACATGCTAGCACCGGAGTGTGTGCATGTTTTAGATCTTGAACACAGCTGATTAGTTTGAATTACTGATGACCCCTCCTGTAAAACCGGTAAAGGCTGACGAGACGTTTCAACTGTTAGATAAATGTTAAAAATGCAAGTGCACATTGAGGTGGAGAGATTACAGTTTGTTTTTACTACAGTGAAGTAAAACGCCAAAACTGACTTAGGCCTAGTCCACACGTAGCCGGGTTTCTTTAAAAACGAATATCCGCCCCTCCAAAAACTTGCATCCACACCACCTTGTTTAAAAAAAAACTCTGTCCACACGTACCCGGATAAATACGTTGTTAAGGACATGCCAGACCTGTAGGTGGCAGTACTTCCCCCGTTCTTAACCTCGTCCTTCATCTGTGGTCTTCCGCAAGGAGCAGTAATTCCGCTTGCAAAAACAAACAAGCAAAAAGCGCTTGGACAATTGATAAAGCGAGCGCAGCTCTGAGGGCATCCATGCTGTCGGCTAGTGTAAACACAGGTCGCACACATGATGTCAGCATTTTTTTTGTCGCGGAAAGTGACGTTGCGGACCTCAAAACTCTGGTTTTGTCTGTCCACACGCAGACACCCAAAACGGAGAAAACGCAGATCTTCACTTTGGCCGGAGTTTTTAAAAAGATCCGTTTTCATGTGAAAAAACTCAGTTTTCGTGTGGATGACAGGCCACAACGTAGAAAAATATCTACGTTTTGGCAGATCCCCGGCTACGTGTGGACAGGGCCTTAGTTTGCCTTTAATTTTCAGTTTCTGTCATTGTCTTTATTCTTCAGTAAATCAGGTGTGTTGTTTTCTACATTTGCCACTTGCCATAAAGACAAAAAGGATTAATTGGAGACATTTCTTATAAAAACATTCTGGTTTATATTTTCCTGAAAACCAAGAGGTTTGTGATTTCATCCTGAAAGCCTTTCACTCTTTCATTGTTCCAGCGACTATCCAGCATGAAATCTTTTCTTTACATTTCCAGCTGAAACTACGGATCACTTGGGATGCGTTCAGACTGGGTTAGTTTGGCGAGTGAGCGATCCACCATGCGGTTTGTGTCATCTTGTTGACCTTCATCAAGAAGCAACACCTGAATGTGATGAGCTTCGTATAAGAGCTCCCGGTCTGTCATTGCTGGAGCTTTAGGACACAGGTGGCCACCTAATCACGTTCCATCAAGAATCAAGATTTTACAGTCTGCAGGTTTTCATCCAGCTGATTACCTCCGCCTGGTTCCTCCCCGCCGCTCGCTGGAGTGTTTTAGTGTTTGGCTGGAATGAAACTCCGCTCTGTGCCACATGGAGGGCCAACTCATGCCCCGTCCTCTAGAAATCCCTGTCTGTAATGTCTTGTTCGTTATTTTCATTACAAATAATTAAGCTTGGCTTGAAAAACAAGGAGTTGAAAATTTCAGGAAGGATTAAGCTTTTCCTTACAGAAAAACAGAAATAATGAAGACGAACGTTTGTTGCCAGTCGTGTCTGAATAACATCATATAACTTAATAAAACTTATGCAGAGCATTGAAACTTTTTCCCTTTTCCTGCCTGAATCCCACCTGTCTGACAGCTCAAGCATTTACAAAATCCCACGACTGTCAGAATTTGACTTATACCATCTGTGATGTGAAATCATCTCTCTCTCTTTCTTCTCTCTCTCTCTCTCTCCGCTTAATTAAACTTTATTATACCCGGCAGTTTAGAACAAACGCCTCTGACTAATGGCTTAAGAATAGTAAATGATCCTCAACACTGATTTAGTTTTAAGTGAGAAGAAGAACCAATGAGAGTCTGGACTTTGTTGCTGTCTTTTCTGTTTTTTGACCATTTTCTACGGTCAGATTTGTGTGTCTTTTCCAGCTCTTTTCTCCTACTTTACACTGTTCCTTCTTCCCTCCTTGTATTTAATCTTCCTCATTTACCCGTTTTCCACCTGTGACTCCTCTCTTCTCATTTTCTCATGCATCCTGTCTTCCGTCGCCCCCCCCACCCCCACCCTCCTGTTTCTCCTCCTGATCTGCCCGGCATGACGTGGGACCAGATCAAGGAACTGGGTTGCCTGGAGTAACAGGGATTCAGAGCGACGCGTTGGAATGCAACTCCAACCGAGCCCCTGACAACAGGAGGAGGAGGAGGAGGAGGAGGAGGAAGGTGGAGTGTGGGTATTTCCATTTAATTCCTGTGCAGTCTTCCTCTAACTTACTTTTGCTTATCTTGTCCTCTTCCCCTCAAATTTTCTCACTTCATTTCTGTTTATCTATAGACATTCTGAAGTTCCCATCAGTCTCTGGAAAGTCTTTTTTCGTCTCTCCCCGTCTCCCTGGACACCTGCCTCCCCTTCTCATTGGTCCAGGCGCTGGTTTGTTGAATTCCCTCCTTTTCTGCTTCCTTTAGTTCAGGAATTTTGTTGGTTTCTATTTATCAGCCAACAATCAGACCATACAACATCTCCTGTGTTTGTCTGGCTGTGCGCAGTGTAAATGCCAGTGAAAGAGGGCAAACACACACACACACACACACACACACACACACACACACACACACACACACACTGCCCCTCTACATTATCAGCAGAATGAAAGTGCTTTCTGGCGGTATTTGAATGAGACAGAAAAGAGCCCTATTCAGCCCCCTGTGCCCAGCTTTTATTAACAAAACGCGTCACCGAGGAGCGACATAAGCCCCCCCCCCCCCAACCCCCCAACCCCCCACAGACACACACATATACACACACACACACACACACACAACAGATAGAGTTCTCCCGTTCAGGTATGCTGACGCTAAAATCCATCTCATCCCCCTTTTTTATTTGACTCCTCCACACTGGTGGGCTTCTGTTGCCTCAACTCCCCTCCTCCCCCTCTGTGTCCTTTTCCAACACTCCTCCCTCCCTTTTCTCACTTTCTCTCTCTCTCTCTCTCACTCTCTGTCTGTTTTCCTCTGCTGCTGAATGGAAACATGCACAGATGCGTAAAGGGGCGGTTAAACGCTGCATACCCACCGGTGGCGACGGCAGCATCTCTGATCCGGTTCTGTGTGGACAGGATGACCCAGGCGGTGGACAGGCTGCTTTTTTTTCAGAGTGTGTGTGTGTGGGGGGGTGGGGGGTCTACTGACCTCGAGGAAAGACCCAGGTTTGCAGCCGGATCACCGGATCAAACCAGAAGTTCCAGGAGCCCGGACACAGAGAGAGGACCTGCCGTGTCCCAGTTCGGGAGCATGGATGCTTGCCTCCCTCCCTCTCCTCCCTCTTCTCCTCACTCCCCTTCCAGCTGCTGTTGCTCGTTTGTGGCGAGCCAGAAATAGCTGCAGCTCGTCTAGAGGTTGTGTGAAGAAGTGTCTGAGTCAAGATTTATTTATGTTAGTCGTTCTTCAGCTGCGATTGTGCTGCTTTTCGTCAGATTTTTCTCCTTTACTCACTAGCGTTATCTTCTCTCATCAGTTTGAGTTTCCAGCTTTGATGCCGCTTTAGTCCGCTGGAGTTGCACTAATTAAGGGTCTAACTGACAGCTCGGTAATTGGATTTATTTCATATCCACTCCTTGAAGTTGGGAAGCCTCCTAAAGCACGACAGGAACGTTTTTTAAGCTTCGTTTCTTTCAGAAAATTATACTTTTAATTGCAGAGCTGCTGGATGGAATGAGGTGTTCTGATTTTAATGCAGACGTTTTCCAAATTGAGCTCAGGAGGCCCAAAAATTCTGGATTCATTCAGGCTGAGGCTGTAACAAACTCACCTGCAACCCCAGTCTCTCAAATTCAGGAACATTGGTTTAAAAGGTGAATCATTTTCCAGAAAAATACTTTTAATTTAAACATTCAGGCCTTATTTTTGCTAATTGTGGGTTTTGCTGCTGTAGGTCAACAGGTGCCAAGTGTTGTTCACTTGTCAAGAATTTGACTAATTTCTGTCAAACGGGTAAAAAGATTAAAATTAACTGTTGTGCTCAAACTAGTGGAAAATATCTTTATTCGCAGAAAAAAAAACAAATTATTTTCAAAGCTGAATAATAAGTGAGAAAAAAAGTCAGTTATAGTGTTTATTTTAGACTGCGGATGTTGTTATTTCATTAGAGTGATGTCATCGGGTCGAGTATTTCGTAACATTCTGTCTCTTTCTGTTAACAGGTGGATGAATGTTTTCAATATTTCTATATTTTTTTTATTCTCTGGTGGTCTGCAGGTATGTGGAAAACAGTCTTAGAGACTCCTCTATTTCTTTTTGGGGGAGATAAACTCCTCCCTCATCCTATTACCCATTGTGACCTACACACATCTGTTGTCCACTGATCAGTCGGGATGGGATGCTGCATGTCTAATTCTATCCGTTTGTTTTTCTTTTTAAAGTATTTGTGTTCACCTGCTGCCTGTTTTCCAGTTCTTTTGCTGTTTTCTTTTTTCAAGGAGCTTTTATTAGAAGTGTGTGTGTGTGTGTGTGTGTGTGTGCGTGCGTGGGTGTGTGTGTGTGTGTGTGTATGTCTCCTTGCTCTTAAAATGCAGTCTACCAAATTCCCAGTTCGCTGTATGGCTTTTTATTCCTATCTGACTGTGCTAATGGTTCATATAGGGATGGAAGCCATGCACTGCGCTGGGGGCACAGCCCACTGGACACACACACACTCACACACATTATTCACACTCTTCACACACAGAAGGTAGCAAATGCAAGGACACGTCCAGGCGATTGTGAATCGAAAGCCTGCAACACGCTCTCACAGAAACCTGGACGCACATGCTGGCAGCAAGTGAACATTAATGCATTTATTTATGTGTTTTCATGCAGTTAACATGCATATGTATGCTGCATGCATGACACTCAGGATGGAAATCCCTGCCTTGTCCTCGTCCCGTTAGGCCCTCTGCTGCAGCGAGCCAGTCTGAAGCTGTCGACTGGATCAGCTGACAGACGGTTCTCTGAAGTGAAACACGCACATCTGCCACAGAATCCCATCGTGATCGATACAGATCACCACAACGATGAATTAAAGTGAAATTGAACTGAGATGAGATGAGCAGAACTGATCTGAACAAAGAGGATAAACTTTTTTCAGGGGAGTCACGATGACTTGATGTCAGGTGATTTGTTCAGTCATGGTCTTTTTCACTCTGGGACTTTTTTTCAGGTAGCCCGCAGGGATGAAACGATGTCCCAGCATGTGGGAGGTGGTGAGACCTTCAGGAGAGCTTTGGTACATAAAATATTTTACCCACATTCATGTTTGTATTCATTAAGATCTTAGCTCTTCCTGATGTGACAGTAATGCAACTAGCATGAAAAAATAATATTTTCCTTCAACTGGAAATGTTTGACTAATTTAACCTAAAAGGAAGCAAAGATATCCATCATGAAGAATCAAACAAAAGCTTTTCATCACAGCTTGAATTTGGAAAGCCCTGCTGCACAAAAAGAATAAAGACAAAGATTTCAGATGAATCTGTCACGTCTGCTTTTGCTTCAGGTAACCTGACATCAGCTTTACTGCTTCAGATTTACAGACCTGTCTACAAGCATTTGTTTTCACTAACCAGGTGACAGACTGCTGGCCGGTATTTTCAAGGGACTCATGCTGACGTTGTAAGATCCAATCAGCATCAGCCTGAACGGAAATCTTCACAAATTACACTTGGATGAAGACATGACTGCTTTTATTGATTTGTTGTAAAGCAGAAAAGGTTTGATTCACATCATCCACTGCAGTTTTTCAAACACAACTTTTAAATTTTTCAGATTCAAGAATATGGGTTGCATTTTTCACACTACAATGAAACAAGTGCAATAGTTGAGATGAGATTGTTATTGTTATATTTATATGAAAGTAGACATCAAGGATAAAAAGTGGCAGTAATAAGTGTCTCCTTCAGGTGCATGGAGAGTTTACAAATGTGAATACGTGCATTAACTGTGATCATTGATGGATGATCTTCTGCTTATTTTTGTCTCCATAAAGTTGATTTTCAGCTGCTTAATTAATAATCCATACATTTGACTAAACTCTAAAAGAAAAAAAATCTGTGGACATGGGTTTGTTTTTTGTCTTTTAGTTCAAACCAACGAATGCATTTAATCTGTCACTTTGGAAAAATTACGTAATACCGAGAGAACTAGTTAAAGAAAAGTTAACAGTATTTGTTGGCTCTCTGTGACTTAAAAAAAACCAGATTCTCAAACAGCTTCCCATCATAATTTCGAACATTTGCAACACGGTTAAACACCGCCACTTAGAGGTCACATTTGATATCACACCTTCAAAAGACACGAACGAGAAAACGTCTGTAGCTTAAATAACATTTTAAACATAAATTAATGTAAACATTCGAATGAGTTGACGTGTTATTTCAATTGAGGTTATATCATTAGAAATGCAGTTTTTGCTACTAGCATCTTGCACAGCGCGGATATAATGTTTAATGTCCGACCCCCTAAAAATTCCGGTGTTTCGCAGAATTTAAACATTTGCAACAACACCACTTAGAGGTCACATGCGGCATTACATTTTTAATGTTCGGTACAAAAAGTCTTTTGCTTAAATAACATTTTAACCCAAATAAATGCAATCTTTAAAGTAGACTGACATTTATTCTTTATTCAAGCTATAAAACCCAGAATGTTTCTTTGTTTCTTTTTTTTCTTCACTATCTCCGGATATGACGTCAATGTCCGACCCCAAAAAATATCCGGTGTTCCGTTGCTTCTGTGTTATGAAATCTCCTGAATGGAGTGTTTGGTAACTCCTGTTTCCTTAGCTTTATACAAGTTCGTGTGGAGAGTTTAGCCCCGTCGGGTCATGCAGTTTCATCAAAAGCGTCTGCAGGAATAATTTTTATCTGAGAAGAGACAAAAAACATCATGGCGAAGCGAAGAAAATGTGCAGAGACAGAAGATGCAAATACAAAGAAACTGAAGCTGAACGCAGACAGCAGCAGGGGAGCGAAAACAAGGATAAAGAAAAAAGATGCAGGTATTAAACAAAATTACACCTATTGATTCTTACATTAAACCTACATCCCCTCACGTGTATGATACGTTTGCTTCCAAAAATTAGCATCAAATCTGCATCCAGTTCTAATTTCTGGGATGCTTCTGCAGAAATGTGTGATGAAGTTTTCGGTTTTCTGGATGTTTTTTGCAGATTGTCAGTACATGTGAGAGTCAATTAAAATTGTTCTCCTAAACAGTTTTGTTAATTTGTTCAAAAAACATAATCTGTGTTATTTTATTTTTATGCACGTTGCATGTTTTCTTAGCTTTGTCACCAGAAACCCGCAGTATGAGCCTGTAGAGTGCAGCAGCATGGGTGAATGATGCACATAGTTACTGGAGTGGATCTAGTGGCCCAGATGCACATCTGTGATCTACTTAATAAAACCATTTTACTGCTGTTTGTTCTCTTTTCTACATGCTATCAGTCCTGCACATTTAACACTGTTGCAACCCTGCTGGTCAGGTTTATTTTTATAACATTTGTAAAAATATATTTATGATACAATGTTTTATTTAAATGCATGGACCTGCACAACAATGTGATTTTAAATAGCTTTTTAGCTTTTATCCTTTTTCATACTGAAGTTTAACTATCATAGAAAATTAATATTAGTAGAATTTAGCTTCAGCTTGTGTTTTCCTGTTTTTGTGATGAATCGTTTATAATATATGTACCTACTCAGTGTACAAGGCTGTTTTATGGTTTGATTAATGTACTTTTAATTATTGTTAATCTTTGATTTTCTTTTGATTAGTGGGTTTTCCCGCCTTTTGAAGATTTGCGTAAACATGCAAACGTTTTTTGTCTCCTTTGTACTTTAAAATAATCAGAATCAGTTTTATTGATTGTTGGACAATCAAGAAATTTGCCTTCTTTTTCACACGTTCACACCACACAATTATCATGGGAACTAGGAGAAAACAGTAAACAAGAAAAACACTTGATTAAGAAATTATTATTTTATTTTCAAAGGCAGATTGGTTATCGATTAGATTAAATACACTTACATTAAATTACAACATATTATTTGTTTTTTTGGTCCAGTTAATGACCTCAGTGATGAAGAAGAGAAGCTTGAGAGGAAGGTGAATCCAAAACCCCGTATGCCGTTGAAGCGATCAGCGGGGCGTCAGACTTCTTCCAGTGCCGGCACCAGTACTGATGTCACAACCAGTAAATACTTCCAGTCCCAGGTGAAGGAGGCGGTTGACAACGAGGACGACTTTGACTTGGTGACTGTTGCACCACCTCTGGTTAAAGGCAGCAGCAAGAAACTGGAGGAAGAGGAGGACGGCAGTGAGGATGAGGATGATTGGGAAGAAGTGGAAGGCAAGTGACTGAAAAAAAAGCACATGAATGGAGTTGATTATTCAGTTATTACTCTAATATTCTTTATGCTTATGTGCCAACATTACAAAGATGATGAAGATGATTTTTCACAGAATAGAGAACTTTGTTGTTTATTGATTAATCAGAGTTATCTGAACCGCTGGGTCCAGTGGATCCACCTGAGCCCGATCGGCCCTCTCAGCCGGTAGAGATTGAGATTGAGACTCCAGAAGTCAGAAAGCAGTAAGTCACCTCATATTAAGATGATATGATGAATGTAAATGAAATGTTCTTTTGAAACTTTATATGTAGTTAAAGTTATAGAAACAAATGTCTTAAATAGTATTAGGAAAATAGAAATTAACAAGAGGGTACACTGCTAAAACTAATTTCTAAGGAAGTAAATATTTTCAGTCTAAAAAGATTTGAAATCCCTAGAAAAAATAGCAATACTTAAAATAAGGTAAATATCTTTAAATATGATCCACATTTTCTTGTTCTGAGTAAATGATCTGTCGATGGATTAACCAGGATTTACTTAGTTAAAATTCTTAAAACTAGCAAATAAATAAAATTTTTAATTATTTTTCCAATGTTAATAATTAGCCATTTTTGGTTACCCGATTGGCAGATTTTCTTTATTCGGAACAAGACATTTTTTGACCATTTAAAAAAAATATTTACCTCATGTAACGCTGTTTTTCTGGAAATTCATTTTTTTGACTAAAAATGAGATAAAATGTCTAAAAATGAATCTTTTTTTCTGGAAATTGCTTTTTCAGTGTATTTTTACTGTTTTGCTTTTATCTGTGGGGCATTTAAATACAATGTTGGGTGTTTGTCTGTTTTTAGCGGCTCACTCTAGCTAAAACTTGAATTTGTAACAAGAAAGATCAACAATATAAAATGTTTTACACATATACATTCTATTAGTCCTGCTAACAATCTTCTTTTGATACCTAAGAATAGTTTTAAAGATCCTAAAGTCCCTTAGAATAAAACTTTTCTCTGTTAGTGTAAGGTTTCTGAGTTTTTGACACACACTTGAATGAATGGCAGCTTTTTGTGTCGTTATTTACCTTAAGGATGCTTTTCACCCCTCAGGAGGAAGAGGCAGGCAGAGGCTGAGATGTACCTCAGACGAATGATGAAGAGGTTTAAGAAGGACCTGCTGATAGACACACACAAGGTTAAAAACACACTCTGATCTATCAGCACAGCTAGATTTTGGATCCTCACTAACCTCTGATTTTTCTTTTCAGGTCCACCTCCTGTGCCTTATAGCCAACGGGATGTTTCGGAACCGTTTGTGCTGCCAGCCGGACCTGCTGGCCATCACGCTGTCCCTGCTGCCGTCTCATTTCTGTGCAGTCGCCAAGGAGCGTATTGATCAGAATTACCTTTCCGGACTGCTCAAATGGTGATTTCTGAATTTAAAAAATGACTTAACAGGACCAGAAACATCTCCTAAGGTTTTTCATTTTTACTAGAAAACATTATGAACTTGACATCCAACAATGACATCAAGATTCATTTTGATAATCCGACAAAAGCCTCTAACAGCTTTGAATCCTAGTTATCTCATTATTAATGGGATTTATTTATTAGTTACATCTTTTCTAATCTCTGTCAGGTTCAGAGCGACATTCACCCTGAACCCTAGCCTCGCCTCTGATGAGCGTCTGGAGCCCCGGGCGCTCCTTGAGCGGCGACTGGCCTCTGTCTCTGCCAAAGACCACCAGGAAATGACACATGTTGGTGTTCGTTTAACTGTCCTTAACCGGCTGATTTTAACCCAGCCTCTTGTTTCATATAGAAAGGCAGAATAAATTAGAAAAGCATTTATGTTTTTCTTTCCTGCAGCTTTTCCTGCTGGTTCTGCGGTCTCTGCAGCTCTTCTGCAGACTGGTTCTGTCATTGCAGCCGATTCCCTTCAAACCTCCAGCAGCCAAGGTACAAACTCTTCACATAGCCATAAATAAAGCAGCAATCCTGAGTTTCCCCCCTTTGGGGAATATGTGTGATTTTTAGAAATCTCTGAAAGTGATAGGCTAACCCCGTACTGTGATATAAGATAGACAGTACATCCTTTTTTGTTTTTCGCTAAGCCCCGCCTCCTTCCATAGAGCACCATCCAATTTGAGCTGAGCACTGTTCAGCATTAGGTAATAGCATGCACAACAAGTGTGTGTGTGTGTGTGTGTGTGTGTGTGTGTGTGTGTGTGTGTGTGTGTGTGTGTGTGTGTGTGTGTGTGTGTGTGTGTGTGTGTGTGTGTGTGTGGACAAACAGCATAATAATAATTGTCAAACAATATGTGTTTTAGTCCTGTTGGCCAGCTAGAGGCGTTGCCGTCAGCCGTAATCACTGAAGCAGTGGGAGGGGCTTAAGCTCAGTGGCCTAGTGGTATGAGCGTCCACCCTAAGACTGGGAGTTCTTGGATTCAAACCACGGTCGGGTCATACTAGCAACTTTAAAAATGGGAACCAATACCTGCCTGCCTGACACTCAGCTTTTAGGGGTTGGATTGGGGGGTTAAACCACCAAATAGTTCTGGAGCACAGCAGCTCACCTCTCCCCACGGGGATGGGTCATGAATTTCACCAGTGTGTGATGATGACTATCAAACTGTAACATTAAAATGGTGAAAAATAAATAAATAAATATAAAGTCCATCACTCAGTCATTAAAGAGGTAGAAATGAGGACATTCAGGCTGAAATGTTTAAGCGCTAAACCGTCATTTAGCCAGAAACCTAAGGAATACTATCTAACATAAAAGCAAGCCACTAAGTGATGACAATTCTGCAAAATAACAAGACTCCTTTAATGTGCAAAGTCATCACCACAAGTAGCTCTAACAAAATAGAAAAGTGCATGTTTGTTTCTTTAATTACTGTTTTATTATCACGTAATAGCAAAACATCAAGTAACCAGTCATTCTGAGTATCCCTGTCATTCTACATTTACAAATGTTGTTGCTTCTATTTTAAGTGTTCCTGTCCATTACTGTCTAGCAATTATAAAACAGCCCTCTGTTCCTACAGACTTAAATATCATTAACATCTAGGATTTCTCCAGCGTAAAGGGACCGCCGCCCCAAAACGGAGGCAAACCAGCCAGGACACCTCCAAGCCCGACTCCTCGGAGGCAAACATCTCTCCGGGCAAGAAGAGATGGGCTGGAGGAGGGGAGATAAAGGGGAGGAGTGGAGGCAAGAAAGCAAACAAGAAAGAAGTGAAGGAGGACGAAGAGGAGAAACCCGCATTGTCAGGAGGGCAGAGACCGAAAAACTCCAAACGCCGCAGTGTCGCCTCAAAGGTCAGCTACAAGGAGGAGAGCAACAGTGAAGGAGGAGAAGAGGAGGAGGTTAGTGATGCCGATGATTTTCAGGTCACTAGTGAGGACGACAGCGAGGATTCAGGAAGAGAGTCCAAACCTTCAAAAGAGAGGAAAGGGAGCACGAAGAAGAAGGAAAAACAAACGAGCGGCAAAAATACTCCTAGGAGAAGAAGTGGTGGGATAAAACAGAAGGACAGCGAGGACGAGGCTGAAAAGGAAGACGATGGCGTGGCGAGCAACAAAACGAGACGGAGCGGGAGAAGAGACGGTCCCGGGGCAGATGAGTGGCTAGAGGTGTGCCTGGATAAAACGTCATCCTGGATTTGTGTGGACGTGGACCACGGAGTTGGAGTGCCTCAACTCTGCTCCCAGAATGCAACGGCCCCGCTGGCGTACGTGGTGGCGGTGGATGGGAACGGCTTCCTAAAGGACTTGGGAAAGAAGTACGATCCTACGTGGATGACGTCGTCGCGGAAGAGGCGGGTGGACGACGAGTGGTGGGAGGAGACACTGGAGCCGTTCATGGGTCCGGAGGATGATAGGAACAAAAAGGAGGAGAAGGAGGTGCGTTCTACGCTGCCAACACGCTGAAAAAGCTTTAATTCGTCATTTATTTGGCTTATTAGAATGAAGGTTTTCACTTGTCCTCAGCTGCAGAATAAGCTCCTGAACAAACCGATGCCAACATCTATAGCCGAATATAAAAACCATCCTCTGTACGCCTTAAAGAGGCACCTGCTGAAGTACGAAGCCCTTTATCCGTCTACAGCCGCTGTGCTCGGATACTGCAGAGGGGAGCCCGTGTACTCCAGGTCAGGACTGCAGCTTAGCATCAGCTTTAGGTGCAAACGTCTTTATTTTGGGGTTCATGTTTCTATCTTCCTCCCTTTTCAGAGACTGCATTCACACCCTCCACTCCAGGGAAACGTGGCTGAAAGAAGCGCGGACCGTCCGACTTGGAGAGCAGCCCTACAAAGTGATGACGCGCCTCTCAGTTGTTTATTTTTGTTTCTTTTAAATGTAATCGCTCAAGGATGCAGAAATGTCAGCTAAGAAGTTTACATACGTGTGATTTGGGGCGACAGTGGCACAGGAGTTAAGTGCTCGCCCCGTAATCGGAAGGTTGCAGGTTCGAGCCCCGCTCAGTCTGTCACTGTCGTTGTGTCCTTGGGCAAGACACTTAACCCGCGCTGCCTGCCGGTGGTGGTCGGAGGGACCGGTGGCGCCAGTGCTCGGCAGCCTCGCCTCTGTCAGTGCGCCCCAGGGCAGCTGTGGCTACATTTTAGCTCATCCCCACCAGTGTGTGAATGTGTGTGTGAATGGGTGAATGACTGATTGTGTTGTAAAGCACCTTGGGGGGTTCTAGGACTCTAGAAGGCGCTATATCAAATACAGGCCATTTACCATTTTACCATTTGTGACTGATGTAGCTAAATCAGAGAGGTAATTTAGAGAAATGTCAACTTCAAAGTGAGAGCTCAGTCGCATTTTTCTCTTTTAAATGTGTTTAAAACTTATCTTAATGTGAATGCATCCAAATGTTTACCAGGTTTTGAGACCAGATGTTTTTTCATGTTTTAAGGTATAGATTACATTATATAGTCAGCAGTAATCCATAGTTTTCTCTCAGAGGGCTCCACCTACAGGCATAAAAACACATGGCACTGTTAAGCCCCTCCCCCTGCCTTTGTGTGACAGCTGGAAGCATTGCCTCTCATTTATTTAGTCTTTGGACCTTTCTTTACTTTTGTCTGTCGTCGAATAGAAGCAGGCAGTTTTGTTTGTGGATGTGAAGGCGGTTGCTTTATTGTGCTAAAATGATAAATACAATAAAGAATATCTGGTTTTACAAAGAACACCTCAAAAAGAATAGTTCTGACCGGATTGATGAGCTAACAGCTAGTCACAGTCTTTGACTCTTTTAAGATGGTGAAGGGCTTCTCCAACCGCTCACGAAAGGCCAGAATGATGTCCGAGATGAAGGAGGAGAAGGACCTTCCTCTGTTTGGAGAATGGCAAACTGAGGAGTACCAGCCGCCTATAGCTGTGGATGGGAAGGTAGCTGCTTCTCTTAGTGACGCTAATGAGCAAAACTTGAAATAAGTTTCATTTGAAACTAATCAAAAATAAAAGATGAAATGAGAAGTGGTTTTGATTTATTTTTCCTTTTTCACTTCCTGTTTTCTCTCTCCAGATCCCACGCAATGAATATGGTAACGTCTACCTTTTTAAAGCCTGCATGATTCCAGTGGGCTGTGTTCATGTCAGGCTGCCTAACCTGCACCGCGTAGCCAGGAAACTGGGCCTGGATGCCGCACCTGCGGTCACAGGCTTCGACTACCATGGAGGATATTCACACGCTGTGTAAGAGTTAACTGATCGCTGGTTCCATCCCAACTCATTCCTAGTCATTCTGCTGTTGTGTCCTTGGACAAAAAGCTTCACCTAACTAGCCTATATTAAAAACACATTTCTTCTTGGTGGTCAGAGGGGCGGATGGTGCAAAATTACATCCTACTACAACTACAATGTCGTTTTCAAAACGGGCATAGTTGCTCACTCTGCGTTGACTCCAGTTGGGTTTGTAGAGTGAGAAACCCATCCAATATGGCGGCGACATTGTTACGCTCTCCAGTGCTCAGTGGGATGTATTCATGCCTATGACTTGGGGCCTTCGCCTAAAATCTTTGGATTTAACTATTAAGGTTTGCCAATTATTGTCGTACATCCCCAAATCTAATCCATTATTATTAGAAATATTATACTTTTTTTTTGTTGAAGGTTTTTCAGCTTTTTTTACTTTCTAATAAATCATTTAAAAATGGAGGATAGTCACTCAATAGCTTCAACATCTGTGCATTGAAATAAAACAGAGAAAAACATCAACAATGTTCAATTCCTGAGTTTAAACAAAATGAAGTCAAGAAAAATAGAGATGCCATATTTTAATAAATGTTAGCATTAAAGATAACAGGATAAAAAAATATGTAGCAATTAAAACGTTATTATGACCAATAAGATGTGATATTCCATATAAATATTAAATATCAGTCTGATTGATCTTTGAATGTTTAATCAGAAGATTCTAGGGTTCTTTGCCTATTCAGGGACCATAAACACACTTCATATTAATTTAGACAGAGTCAGTATACAGTTTATAAAATGAATTTAACTCTTTTCCCTAAACTAATAATTTATACAATACAAGATATGAGATGTGGTGTGGTAGATGTGAGGTGTTGTGATGGAAGCTAGATGTTGTAGCAACCGTTCTTTGTATCTGAGAGAAATTGTGAAATCTGGGTGTAAAATAATTTTTTGTTTGTTCTAAACTAGAGAGTTGTTTATTGAAAACAGCATCAGACACAGTCTGTCCTGTCAAGTCTGCACACCCTTGGTGTGGAGGTTCAATTCAATTCAAGTTTATTTATATAGCGCCAAATCACGACAAGAGTCATCTCAAGGCACTTCACATAATAAACATTCCAATACAGGTCCTCCTTGAACCGTCACCTTATCGTGGTGGAGGAGTTTGAGTGCCCTAATGATCCTAGGAGCTATGTTGTCTGGGGCACTTAGTGCCCCTGGTAGGGTCTCCCATGACAAATTGGTCTTAGGTGAAGGGTGAGACAAAGAACGGTTCGAAGGATCTTTCATGGCGGTTAAAACGAAGAGTCAGAGTACCCGGCCCGGAGGGTTACCGGGGTCCCACCCTGGAGCCAGGCCTGGGGTTGGGGCCCGTGAGTGAGCGCCTGGTGGCCGGGCTTTCGCCCATGGGGCCCGGCCGGGCCCAGCCCGAACCGGATACATGGGCTCGTCCAACTGTGGACCCACCACCCGCAGGAGGAACAGGAAGGGTCCGGTGCAATGTGAATCGGGTGGCAGACCAAGGCGGGAGCCTTGGCGGTCCAATCCCCGGACAAGAAAACTAGTTTTTGGGACATGGAACGTCACCTCGCTGGCGGGGAAGGAGCCGGAGCTTGTGGCAGAGGTTGAGCGGTACCGGCTAGATATAGTCGGACTCACCTCGACACATTGCATTGGCTCTGGAACCCGAGACCTGGAGAGGGGTTGGACACTCTACTTTGCTGGAGTTGCTCCGGGTGAGAGGCGGAGGGCTGGGGTTGGCTTTTTGTTAGCCCCGAGACTCTCTGCCTGTGTGTTGGGGTTTACCCCGGGGGACAAGAGGGTAGCTTCCTTGCGCCTTCGGGTCGGGGAACGGGTCCTGACTGTTGTTTGTGCTTATGGGCCAAATATCAGTTCAGAGTACCCACCCTTTTTGGAGTCCCTGGGACGAGTGCTAGATAGTGCTCCATCAGGGGACTCCATTGTCCTGCTGGGGGACTTCAATGCTCACGTGGGCAATGACAGCTTGACCTGGAGGGGTGTGATTGGGAGGAACGGCCCACCTGATCAGAACTCGAGCGGTGTTTTGTTATTGGACTTCTGTGCAAGCCGCAGTTTGGCCATAACGAACACCATGTTCGAACATAAGGATGCCCACCGGTACACTTGGTACCAGGGCAGCCTAGGTCACAGGTCGATGATAGATTTTGTAGTCGTATCATCTGACCTGCGGCCGTATGTTTTGGACACCCGAGTGAAGAGAGGGGCGGAGCTGTCAACTGATCACCACCTGGTGGTGAGTTGGATCAGATGGCAAGGGAACATGCCGCGTAGACCTGGCAGACCCAAACGCATAGTGAGGGTCTGCTGGGAACGCCTGGCAGAAGAACCTGTCAAGACGGTCTTCAACTCCCACCTCCGGCAGAGCTTTGACCACGTCCCGAGAGCAGTGGGGGACATTGAGTCCGAGTGGGCCTTGTTCCACTCTGCGATTGTCGAGGCGGCTGTTGCTAGCTGTGGTCGTAAGGTGGCCGGTGCCAGTCGTGGTGGCAACCCCCGTACCCGCTGGTGGACACCAGAGGTTCGGGGAGCCGTCAGGCTGAAGAAGGAGGCCTACAGGGCGTGGCTGGTCTGTGGGTCTCCAGAGGCAGCAGACAGGTACCGGATAGCCAAGCGGGGTGCAGCAGTGGCAGTTGCCGAGGCAAAATCTCGGGCGTGGGAGGAGTTTGGTGAGGCCATGGAGAAAGACTATCGATCGGCTCCAAAGAGGTTCTGGCAAACTGTCCGGCGCCTCAGGAGAGGAAGGCAGCAACTCGCTCACACTGTTTACAGTGGGGATGGGGAGCTGCTGACGTCAACTGAGGCTATAGTCGGACGGTGGAAGGAATACTTTGAGGAGCTCCTCAATCCCACCAATGCCCATTCCGAGGAGGAACCAGAGCTGGGAGGCCTGGGGATGGACTGTCCGATCTCGGGGGCAGAAGTTGCTGAGGTAGTCAAACAACTACACAGCGGCGGAGCCCCGGGGGCGGATGAGGTTCGTCCTGGGTATCTCAAGGCTATGGATGTTGTAGGGCTGTCATGGTTGACACGTCTCTACAACATTGCGTGGTCATCGGGGGCAGTTCCTAGGGAGTGGCAGACCGGGGTGGTGGTCCCCATCTTTAAGAAGGGTGACCTGAGGGTGTGTTCCAACTATAGGGGGATCACACTCCTCAGCCTCCCTGGAAAGGTCTACTCCAAGGTACTGGAGAGGAGGGTCCGATCGATAGTTGAATCTCAGATAGAGGAGGAGCAATGTGGTTTTCGTCCTGGCCGTGGAACTGTGGACCAGCTCTATACCCTTGCAAGGGTGATGGAGGGGGCATGGGAGTTTGCCCAACCAATCCACCTGTGCTTTGTGGATTTGGAGAAGGCTTATGACCGTGTCCCCAGGGGCACCCTGTGGGGGACGCTCCAGGAGTATGGGGTGGGTGGCTTTCTGTTAAGGGCCATTCAGTCCCTTTACCAGAGGAGCGTGAGTTTGGTCCGCATAGCCGGTAGTAAGTCGGACCTATTCCCAGTGAGGGTTGGACTCCGCCAGGGCTGCCCTTTGTCACCGGTTCTGTTCATCACTTTTATGGACAGAATTTCTAGACGCAGCCGTGGTGTGGAGTGTGTCGAGTTTGGTGGCAGGAGAATCTCGTCTCTGCTTTTTGCGGATGATGTGGTCCTCCTAGCTTCATCCAGCTCTGACCTTCAGCTCTTGCTGGGTAGGTTCGCGGCCGAATGTGAAGCGGCTGGGATGAGGATCAGCACCTCCAAATCTGAGACCATGGTTCTCGACCGGAAAAGGGTGGCTTGCCACCTCCGGGTCAGGGGAGAGGTCCTACCTCAAGTGGAGGAGTTTAAGTATCTCGGGGTCTTGTTCACGAGTGAGGGTAGGAGGGATCGGGAGATCGACAGGCGGATTGGTTCGGCGTCTGCAGTGATGCGGACGCTGAGCCGATCTGTCGTGGTGAAGAGGGAGCTGAGCCAGAAAGCCAGGCTCTCGATTTACCGGTCGATCTACGTCCCAATCCTCACCTATGGTCATGAGCTTTGGGTAATGACCGAAAGAACGAGATCGCGGATACAAGCGGCCGAAATGAGTTTCCTCCGTAGGGTGGCCGGGCTCAGCCTTAGAGATAGGGTGAGGAGCTCGGACATTCGGGAGGGACTCGGAGTAGAACCGCTGCTCCTCCGGATCGAAAGGAGCCAGTTGAGGTGGTTTGGGCATCTGGTCAGGATGCCTCCTGGACGCCTCCCCGGGGAGGTGTTTCGGGCATGTCCTGCCGGCAGAAGGCCCCCGGGTCGACCCAGGACACGTTGGAGAGGTTACATCTCCAATCTGGTCCGGGAACGCCTTGGGGTCCTGCCGGAGGAGCTGGTGGACAAGGCCGGGGAGAGGACGGCCTGGAGCTCCCTAGTTGGGATGCTGCCCCCGCGACCCGGACCCGGATAAGCGGAGGAAGACGAGACGAGAGACGAGACGAGATACAGGTCAGTTCATTAAGCCAATCAGAAAAAAGTTTCCTATATAAGGAACCCAGCAAATTGCATCAAGTCACTGACTATTGTCTGTGACTTTACAGCAATCCTCATACTAAGCAAGCATGCAGCGACAGTGGAGAGAAAAACTCCCTTTTAACAGGAAGAAACCTCCAGAGGATCCTGGCTCAGTATAAGCAGCCATCCTCCACGACCAGAGCAGACACACACACACACACACCAAGTAATATTTCTATGGTTACATTGTGATTTCTTAGTAAATATTCTATTTGGTGAGAGATAAACTTTATTGTATTTATCCTGGTGAATCTATAATTAAACGGGTAAACTAGTAGTAGCACATCTAATGTCAAGGAAAGTGTTATTATCAGGAGAGGGAGAATGATTAAATGGTTAGCAACAGCTTTCAAAACGATGGCCCCCTCCATGAGGCCACCACAGCTCAGCAGAACATCATTGTAGCTTCTTCTGGGGAGAAAAACACTTAGAGAAAAATAAAGTTACCAGCTGAAAGAGCAGGAAATAATCCGGTAAAGAGCAGATTGTAGAAGAAAGTAGTCGAGTGTGGAAAGTGGTCAGTATGTCCTCCAGCAGTCTAAGCCTATAGCAGCATAACTACAGAGATAACTCTGGATAACCTAGCCTTTTAGATGGAGGTATGGTGGAGGCAGGGCAAGGGAGAGCCGTCTTTACCGACTCTACACTCCACCTCCCTCTACTCCCCCATTTGTCCAGATTTAGGCTAACATCAGATTTTAACCATAGGCCCTATCTAATAAAAATGTTTTAAGCATAGTCTTAAAGATAGAAAAGGTGTCTGCCTCACATACTAAAGCTGGGAGTTGGTTCCACAAGAGAGGGGCCTGATAACTAAAAGATCTGCCTCCCATCCTATTTTTGGATATTCCGGGAACCACCAGTAAACCTGCAATCTGAGAGCGAAGTGCTCGGTTAGCAACGTATGGAACAATCAGGTCACTGATGTATGATGGAGCTTGATTATTAAGAGCTTTATATGTGAGAAGAAGGATCTTAAAATCCATTCTGAATTTAACAGGCAGCCAATGTAGGGAAGCTAAGACAGGAGAGATATGATCTCGTTCGATCGGGGGGGGTCGATGGTCACTGCCGGTGGAGTGAACCTCTGATATCAGGAACCTGTAGACAGTTTAGATAGGACCCGTCCAGTCTGAGATCTCTCGAGGTGAAGGCCGAAAGCTGGAATGCTTATTTGCGTCTAAGGTTGATGTTTGCTTGGCTCTTAAGAGCCGGTGGTCTGGTATCAGCCGCAGCGTTGCAGAGACGCTTTGATAGGAGGTCAAAGGAGAAGATGGTTTCAAAAATGCTTCTTTCCCAAATTGGCCGGTTCAAGGGTCAACAAGAAACTGAATTACTCGGGAAGTAATTCTTGTTTTATTAAACTACTTTGTTATGATTTCTGGCCAAGTTTGGCCAATCAGAGTTTGACACGTTTCTGAGTTTTTACCAACATCCCTCAGAAAGCCACGCTTACCTTCAGATACAAGATTCTTAACCTTAATATCTTATTGTAACGTGTAGGAGTGTAAACAATGATTAACTTGTTAAATCAAACACTGATTTGTGATATAAATGGATCATTGCAAGAACAATATTCATTTCAAATTCATTGATTTAATAATAATAATAGTAACGCATTGAACTTATATAGCGCTTTTCAAGACACCCAAAGACGCTTTCACACACTCTCACATTCACACACTGCTAGTGATGGTAAGCTACTTGTAGCCACAGCCGCCCTGGGGAGGTCTGACAGAGGCGAGGCTGCCATTTGGCGCCGTCGGCCCCTCTGACCACCACTAACACAGGCAAGTTGGGTGAAGTGTCTTGCCCAAGGACACAACAGCAGGATACCCCTGGCGGGAGCAGGAATCAAACCCATGACCCTCCGATCATGAGGCAACCCGCACTACCACCTGAGCTACTGCTGCCCCGAGCACAGATTATTCAAACATTTCATTTAAACATCTTGCTCATTCATTACGTATGATTATTGTAAGCTTATGAGTTGTAAAATCATGGAGTCTTCACTTATTCAGAGTGAAGAATATTGACGTCTGGCGTTCACACTTAGAGTGCAGGAACCTTAGGAGAGAATGTTTGTCTGGATGTTTTGTAAACATACGCTGAACAGAACCTTCTGGATTTAGAAGGCCAAATAGAAAGTGGATTTATGCTGTAGATGAAAGGTCACTATGTTGGTCAATGTAGATGGTGAAAAAATTGACCCTTTTGGTACGTTACAAAGCTGTTAATTATTAGGTTTTATAATGTGTTTTAGGACTGATGGTTACATTGTGTGTGAAGAGGATGAGGAGGTTCTCAGGGCCGCCTGGGTGGAAGAACAAGAGATTCAGAAGCAGAAAGAGAAAGAGGTGAGTCTGTTTTTAATGGGTGATCCATTTGATGTACATTAACAAGTAGCATTTTCCTGTGCATCCAAGCTGTGAACCAGACTTAATTCAAGTTAACAAGAGTCCAGTGATTTACCCGATTTAATAGAAATGCCCTTTTTGATATCATAACCTCTGCCTTCTAGAAAAAGGAAAAGAGAGCCTTTGGCAACTGGACCCTGCTGGTGAAGGGACTCCTGATCAGAGAAAGACTCAAACAGCGTTACAACAACAAGTCATCGGGACTGGGGAGCACTTCTCATGCAGGTGATGCTGGCGGGTTTTCTTCTGACGAGGAGGTGGAGGCTGAAGGTGATGCTTCCAAGTCTAAAACGGCATCTGAGACTCTGGCGATGTCCTGGCCCCAAAACAGACAAGCAGAGGAGGAGGATGGGGGCACCAGCAGGCTGGAGAAGAAGAAGCCTACAAGGCGAGAAAAGAAGGGTCAGGAGAAACATTTATTCCCGTTTGAGAAAGTGTAACGCCACTGGAAAGACTTGATCGAACGCTCTGCTGCCAACAAAGCACTCAGCTGTCTGAATGTCGAAAGGCCTCAGAAGACAAGAGAATGGAAAGAGAAGAAGAAAGGAGGAGAGCAGCGATCGTTCCAGCTGTGATGCTGTTTGGATTCAGCCTTTTGGGACCATTGATGTTATAGATTCTTATTATCCGACACACTCAAACAACACGTGTTTAAATCTGCATTTATAGTCTTAAATTCTCACCAGATTATTTTTGCTCAAGGAATTAAAAAATGTCTGGAGCTGCATTTGTCACTGTTCACAGCTCTTCTATCTCATCACTTCACACTTCACACTGGATTTCTCAACTTTTTGTATTCAGGTGATTGAAACGGTTAAACTTTCCAAATGAAAAATATTTTTGTGAATAAATAAAACAAGACTTGTAGCCTTGTTTCTTATTATGTATTTATAAACAAAAGCAGGTTATCAAGTGAAGATAAACCAGATTAAATATAATACATGTATGCAATTTATACATTTGTCCCAATAGTACTCTTAAAGCAGAATCACAGCCACATTTTAAGGGTTTAAACTTAAAATGAAGACGTAATGAAAATGCACAATCTAAATAAATGGTGCATTGATTTTATTATTTTTAATTATTGAAATACTCAGGTTGTGTACTTTGTATAAGTACCAAAGTTTAATTTTACCATCAGGGAATTCCGGTTGGTAACTCTGAAGTTACTATAACTGTTGAAAAATACAAAGGATTGAATGAATGATTATGGTAAAGTATTTGTTGAAAGTGTATTTTAAATTTTGCAGGATTAAGATTCCTTAGTTTGGAATTTTTACAGAGAACTAGAAAACCACAGATCACAAGACTGAATTCCTGAAACAAATGTCCCACCTATGGAGTTAACCTCTCACTGGAATGAAAAAAAATCTAAAAACATTACAGGACATTAAAATGATTCAGCAACACCAGACTGAACATTATCTGCAATAAAGGCAATAAATCTCCCTCCTCAGCATTTTCACACCAATTACCTTTAAGTTTATCCCAGGGAATCACTTTAGAGGAAAATGCATCCCAGGATCAGTCTTCACTTCCAAATCCTCAGTGCCTGAAGTTTCATACCGTATGAATTTAGGATCAATGCTTCAGTTTATCTTTCCTTTAAAGAGAAATGATGTTGGACACAAAGGCAGCTGAATAATTTCATGTGAGAGCGTCTAACAGTCATGATGTTGCACATCGATTCATTTAAAATCAAAGAAAACCAAAATGTCTCTTCCCCAAACAGACTTTGGAAGATAGTAATATTTCACAATATTATAAGCAATTTAAGATTAATGAAGTGACATTAGGGTGCATGTTAGAATTAATATGCACAGAGCTTTAATATCTTCTAAACTAAAGTCAGACTATTTGTTTTTAATATCAGTCTCAGTTCTGCCTTTTTGATTTACTTCATTCACAGCAGCAGCGGCACACCTTTAACCCTTTAATGTCCACACCTGTAGAAAAAAGCCATTACATGTGTTTATATTTTTCATTTTTTATTAATTTGAGCCAATGAAGGGTTATATTATATTTATATTATAATTAATTAATAATTTTAAGAAAAATATATAGTAAAACTATTTAACATTTATAAACATCCTGATAGTTAAAAAAATATGTTTTTGTTTTTTATTTTCAACTAAATTCAATGTGTGTTTCAATTAGACCACAACGAATAACAAGTGTTCAGCCATTAAAGGGTTAAAAATAGCTTTGATGTTTTTCGTGAATTATTTTTAAATGATTTAAAATAAAATATAGTTCAAATGACGATAAATGAAGTGAAAAGGTTGCAGGTTCGAGCCCCGCTCAGTCTGTCACTGTCGTTGTGTCCTTGGGCAAGACACTTAACCCGCGCTGCCTGCCGGTGGTGGTCGGAGGGACCGGTGGCGCCAGTGCTCGGCAGCCTCGCCTCTGTCAGTGCGCCCCAGGGCAGCTGTGGCTACATTGTAGCTCATCCCCACCAGTGTGTGAATGTGTGTGTGAATGGGTGAATGACTGATTGTGTTGTAAAGCACCTTGGGGGGTTCTAGGACTCTAGAAGGCGCTATATCAAATACAGGCCTTTTACCATTTGTGACTGATGTAGCTAAATCAGAGAGGTAATTTAGAGAAATGTCAACTTCAAAGTGAGAGCTCAGTCGCATTTTTCTCTTTTAAATGTGTTTAAAACTTATCTTAATGTGAATGCATCCAAATGTTTACCAGGTTTTGAGACCAGATGTTTTTTCATGTTTTAAGGTATAGATTACATTATATAGTCAGCAGTAATCCATAGTTTTCTCTCAGAGGGCTCCACCTACAGGCATAAAAACACATGGCACTGTTAAGCCCCTCCCCCTGCCTTTGTGTGACAGCTGGAAGCATTGCCTCTCATTTATTTAGTCTTTGGACCTTTCTTTACTTTTGTCTGTCGCCGAATAGAAGCAGGCAGTTTTGTTTGTGGATGTGAAGGCGGTTGCTTTATTGTGCTAAAATGATAAATACAATAAAGAATATCTGGTTTTACAAAGAACACCTCAAAAAGAATAGTTCTGACCGGATTGATGAGCTAACAGCTAGTCACAGTCTTTGACTCTTTTAAGATGGTGAAGGGCTTCTCCAACCGCTCACGAAAGGCCAGAATGATGTCCGAGATGAAGGAGGAGAAGGACCTTCCTCTGTTTGGAGAATGGCAAACTGAGGAGTACCAGCCGCCTATAGCCGTGGATGGGAAGGTAGCTGCTTCTCTTAGTGACGCTAATGAGCAAAACTTGAAATAAGTTTCATTTGAAACTAATCAAAAATAAAAGATGAAATGAGAAGTGGTTTTGATTTATTTTTCCTTTTTCACTTCCTGTTTTCTCTCTCCAGATCCCACGCAATGAATATGGTAACGTCTACCTTTTTAAAGCCTGCATGATTCCAGTGGGCTGTGTTCATGTCAGGCTGCCTAACCTGCACCGCGTAGCCAGGAAACTGGGCCTGGATGCCGCACCTGCGGTCACAGGCTTCGACTACCATGGAGGATATTCACACGCTGTGTAAGAGTTAACTGATCGCTGGTTCCATCCCAACTCATTCCTAGTCATTCTGCTGTTGTGTCCTTGGACAAAAAGCTTCACCTAACTAGCCTATATTAAAAACACATTTCTTCTTGGTGGTCAGAGGGGCAGATGGTGCAAAATTACATCCTACTACAACTACAATGTCGTTTTCAAAACGGGCATAGTTGCTCACTCTGCGTTGACTCCAGTTGGGTTTGTAGAGTGAGAAACCCATCCAATATGGCAGCGACATTGTTACGCTCTCCAGTGCTCAGTGGGATGTATTCATGCCTATGACTTGGGGCCTTCGCCTAAAATCTTTGGATTTAACTATTAAGGTTTGCCAATTATTGTCGTACATCCCCAAATCTAATCCATTATTATTAGAAATATTATACTTTTTTTTTGTTGAAGGTTTTTCAGCTTTTTTTACTTTCTAATAAATCATTTAAAAATGGAGGATAGTCACTCAATAGCTTCAACATCTGTGCATTGAAATAAAACAGAGAAAAACATCAACAATGTTCAATTCCTGAGTTTAAACAAAATGAAGTCAAGAAAAATAGAGATGCCATATTTTAATAAATGTTAGCATTAAAGATAACAGGATAAAAAAATATGTAGCAATTAAAACGTTATTATGACCAATAAGATGTGATATTCCATATAAATATTAAATATCAGTCTGATTGATCTTTGAATGTTTAATCAGAAGATTCTAGGGTTCTTTGCCTATTCAGGGACCATAAACACACTTCATATTAATTTAGACAGAGTCAGTATACAGTTTATAAAATGAATTTAACTCTTTTCCCTAAACTAATAATTTATACAATACAAGATATGAGATGTGGTGTGGTAGATGTGAGGTGTTGTGATGGAAGCTAGATGTTGTAGCAACCGTTCTTTGTATCTGAGAGAAATTGTGAAATCTGGGTGTAAAATAATTTGTTGTTTGTTCTAAACTAGAGAGTTGTTTATTGAAAACAGCATCAGACACAGTCTGTCCTGTCAAGTCTGCACACCCTTGGTGTGGAGGTTCAATTCAATTCAAGTTTATTTATATAGCGCCAAATCACGACAAGAGTCGTCTCAAGGCACTTCACATAATAAACATTCCAATACAGGTCAGTTCATTAAGCCAATCAGAAAAAAGTTTCCTATATAAGGAACCCAGCAAATTGCATCAAGTCACTGACTATTGTCTGTGACTTTACAGCAATCCTCATACTAAGCAAGCATGCAGCGACAGTGGAGAGAAAAACTCCCTTTTAACGGGAAGAAACCTCCAGAGGATCCTGGCTCAGTATAAGCAGCCATCCTCCACGACCAGAGCAGACACACACACACACACACACCAAGTAATATTTCTATGGTTACATTGTGATTTCTTAGTAAATATTCTATTTGGTGAGAGATAAACTTTATTGTATTTATCCTGGTGAATCTATAATTAAACGGGTAAACTAGTAGTAGCACATCTAATGTCAAGGAAAGTGTTATTATCAGGAGAGGGAGAATGATTAAATGGTTAGCAACAGCTTTCAAAACGATGGCCCCCTCCATGAGGCCACCACAGCTCAGCAGAACATCATTGTAGCTTCTTCTGGGGAGAAAAACACTTAGAGAAAAATAAAGTTACCAGCTGAAAGAGCAGGAAATAATCCGGTAAAGAGCAGATTGTAGAAGAAAGTAGTCGAGTGTGGAAAGTGGTCAGTATGTCCTCCAGCAGTCTAAGCCTATAGCAGCATAACTACAGAGATAACTCTGGATAACCTAGACTTTTAGATGGAGGAATGTTGGAGGCAGGGCAAGGGAGAGCCGTCTTTACCGACTCTACACTCCACCTCCCTCTACTCCCCCATTTGTCCAGATTTAGGCTAACATCAGATTTTAACCATAGGCCCTATCTAATAAAAATGTTTTAAGCATAGTCTTAAAGATAGAAAAGGTGTCTGCCTCACATACTAAAGCTGGGAGTTGGTTCCACAAGAGAGGGGCCTGATAACTAAAAGATCTGCCTCCCATCCTATTTTTAGGTATTCCGGGAACCACCAGTAAACCTGCAATCTGAGAGCGAAGTGCTCGGTTAGCAACGTATGGAACAATCAGGTCACTGATGTATGATGGAGCTTGATTATTAAGAGCTTTATATGTGAGAAGAAGGATCTTAAAATCCATTCTGAATTTAACAGGCAGCCAATGTAGGGAAGCTAAGACAGGAGAGATATGATCTCGTTCGATCGGGGGGGGGTCGATGGTCACTGCCGGTGGAGTGAACCTCTGATATCAGGAACCTGTAGACAGTTTAGATAGGGCCCGTCCAGTCTGAGATCTCTCGAGGTGAAGGCCGAAAGCTGGAATGCTTATTTGCGTCTAAGGTTGATGTTTGCTTGGCTCTTAAGAGCCGGTGGTCTGGTATCAGCCGCAGCGTTGCAGAGACGCTTTGATAGGAGGTCAAAGGAGAAGATGGTTTCAAAAATGCTTCTTTCCCAAATTGGCCGGTTCAAGGGTCAACAAGAAACTGAATTACTCGGGAAGTAATTCTTGTTTTATTAAACTACTTTGTTATGATTTCTGGCCAAGTTTGGCCAATCAGAGTTTGACACGTTTCTGAGTTTTTACCAACATCCCTCAGAAAGCCACGCTTACCTTCAGATACAAGATTCTTAACCTTAATATCTTATTGTAACGTGTAGGAGTGTAAACAATGATTAACTTGTTAAATCAAACACTGATTTGTGATATAAATGGATCATTGCAAGAACAATATTCATTTCAAATTCATTGATTTAATAATAATAATAGTAACACATTGAACTTATATAGCGCTTTTCAAGACACCCAAAGACGCTTTCACACACTCTCACATTCACACACTGCTAGTGATGGTAAGCTACTTGTAGCCACAGCCGCCCTGGGGAGGTCTGACAGAGGCGAGGCTGCCATTTGGCGCCGTCGGCCCCTCTGACCACCACTAACACAGGCAAGTTGGGTGAAGTGTCTTGCCCAAGGACAGAACAGCAGGATACCCCTGGCGGGAGCAGGAATCAAACCCATGACCCTCCGATCATGAGGCAACCCGCACTACCACCTGAGCTACTGCTGCCCCGAGCACAGATTATTCAAACATTTCATTTAAACATCTTGCTCATTCATTACGTATGATTATTGTAAGCTTATGAGTTGTAAAATCATGGAGTCTTCACTTATTCAGAGTGAAGAATATTGACGTCTGGCGTTCACACTTAGAGTGCAGGAACCTTAGGAGAGAATGTTTGTCTGGATGTTTTGTAAACATGCGCTGAACAGAACCTTCTGGATTTAGAAGGCCAAATAGAAAGTGGATTTATGCTGTAGATGAAAGGTCACTATGTTGGTCAATGTAGATGGTGAAAAAATTGACCCTTTTGGTACGTTACAAAGCTGTTAATTATTAGGTTTTATAATGTGTTTTAGGACTGATGGTTACATTGTGTGTGAAGAGGATGAGGAGGTTCTCAGGGCCGCCTGGGTGGAAGAACAAGAGATTCAGAAGCAGAAAGAGAAAGAGGTGAGTCTGTTTTTAATGGGTGATCCATTTGATGTACATTAACAAGTAGCATTTTCCTGTGCATCCAAGCTGTGAACCAGACTTAATTCAAGTTAACAAGAGTCCAGTGATTTACCCGATTTAATAGAAATGCCCTTTTTGATATCATAACCTCTGCCTTCTAGAAAAAGGAAAAGAGAGCCTTTGGCAACTGGACCCTGCTGGTGAAGGGACTCCTGATCAGAGAAAGACTCAAACAGCGTTACAACAACAAGTCATCGGGACTGGGGAGCACTTCTCATGCAGGTGATGCTGGCGGGTTTTCTTCTGACGAGGAGGTGGAGGCTGAAGGTGATGCTTCCAAGTCTAAAACGGCATCTGAGACTCTGGCGATGTCCTGGCCCCAAAACAGACAAGCAGAGGAGGAGGATGGGGGCACCAGCAGGCTGGAGAAGAAGAAGCCTACAAGGCGAGAAAAGAAGGGTCAGGAGAAACATTTATTCCCGTTTGAGAAAGTGTAACGCCACTGGAAAGACTTGATCGAACGCTCTGCTGCCAACAAAGCACTCAGCTGTCTGAATCTCGAAAGGCCTCAGAAGACAAGAGAATGGAAAGAGAAGAAGAAAGGAGGAGAGCAGCGATCGTTCCAGCTGTGATGCTGTTTGGATTCAGCCTTTTGGGACCATTGATGTTATAGATTCTTATTATCCGACACACTCAAACAACACGTGTTTAAATCTGCATCTATAGTCTTAAATTCTCACCAGATTATTTTTGCTCAAGGAATTAAAAAATGTCTGGAGCTGCATTTGTCACTGTTCACAGCTCTTCTATCTCATCACTTCACACTTCACACTGGATTTCTCAACTTTTTGTATTCAGGTGATTGAAACGGTTAAACTTTCCAAATGAAAAATATTTTTGTGAATAAATAAAACAAGACTTGTAGCCTTGTTTCTTATTATGTATTTATAAACAAAAGCAGGTTATCAAGTGAAGATAAACCAGATTAAATATAATACATGTATGCAATTTATACATTTGTCCCAATAGTACTCTTAAAGCAGAATCACAGCCACATTTTAAGGGTTTAAACTTAAAATGAAGACGTAATGAAAATGCACAATCTAAATAAATGGTGCATTGATTTTATTATTTTTAATTATTGAAATACTCAGGTTGTGTACTTTGTATAAGTACCAAAGTTTAATTTTACCATCAGGGAATTCCGGTTGGTAACTCTGAAGTTACTATAACTGTTGAAAAATACAAAGGATTGAATGAATGATTATGGTAAAGTATTTGTTGAAAGTGTATTTTAAATTTTGCAGGATTAAGATTCCTTAGTTTGGAATTTTTACAGAGAACTAGAAAACCACAGATCACAAGACTGAATTCCTGAAACAAATGTCCCACCTATGGAGTTAACCTCTGACTGGAATGAAAAAAAATCTAAAAACATTACAGGACATTAAAATGATTCAGCAACACCAGACTGAACATTATCTGCAATAAAGGCAATAAATCTCCCTCCTCAGCATTTTCACATTTTCATTTTACCTTTAAGCTTATCCCAGGGAATCACTTTAGAGGAAAATGCATCCCAGGATCAGTCTTCACTTCCAAATCCTCAGTGCCTGAAGTTTCATACCGTATGAATTTAGGATCAATGCTTCAGTTTATCTTTCCTTTAAAGAGAAATGATGTTGGGCACAAAGGCAGCTGAATAATTTCATGTGAGAGCGTCTAACAGTCATGATGTTGCACATCGATTCATTTAAAATCAAAGAAAACCAAAATGTCTCTTCCCCAAACAGACGTTGGAAGATGGTAATATTTCACAATATTATAAGCAATTTAAGATTAATGAAGTGACATTAGGGTGCATGTTAGAATTAATATGCACAGAGCTTTAATATCTTCTAAACTAAAGTCAGACCATTTGTTTTTAATATCAGTCTCAGTTCTGCCTTTTTGATTTACTTCATTCACAGCAGCAGCGGCACACCTTTAACCCTTTAATGTCCACACCTGTAGAAAAAAGCCATTACATGTGTTTATATTTTTCATTTTTTATTAATTTGAGCCAATGAAGGGTTATATTATATTTATATTATAATTAATTAATAATTTTAAGAAAAATATATAGTAAAACTATTTAACATTTATAAACATCCTGATAGTTAAAAAAATATGTTTTTATTTTTTATTTTCAACTAAATTCAATGTGTGTTTCAATTAGACCACAACGAATAACAAGTGTTCAGCCATTAAAGGGTTAAAAATAGCTTTGATGTTTTTCGTGAATTATTTTTAAATGATTTAAAATAAAATATAGTTCAAATGACGATAAATGATTTAATTAATAAAAATGTTAAGTAACTAGAGGCTGTAAAAGTTATTGGATTGGAAAAAATTGAAAATGTGGTTTGAACAGATTCATTTAAAAATATTTTGTCAAGTAGTAAATTCTGATATGTGAAAATCCTGCATTCAAGAGATTGACCAAATTAGTGCAACTAAATACTCTGAATGAAACCTTTTAGAACACCAATATTGCAAATGTCCTAAAAAAAACCCTTTTCTGTTACTTCAAGAAAATGTGATTGAAACAATGGAAGAGAAAAACATTGTGCCTGTGATAAATAAATAGTTAAGAGTTTACAAATAAAGTTGCAAACAAAAAGGGAAACACAAATAGCAATAAAACAGAGTATAATGGAAAATCAAGCTCATTTTCATTTGGATGGAGTTTTACTATTTGTTTCCTCTAGATGCAGTTATGTGATAAGGTGGAGTCTGAAAACAAAAACACAAAAACAATGGTTTATATTCAAAAACAATGGTTTATATTTAAAAACAATGGTTTACTTAGGGAGCTTTGATTTTATGAATGAAAAAGATCAGTACCTTTATATTCTCAAATATGCATTTTCTATGGAGTTAAGCCAGGAAGATGCTTTACATAATACATTTCTTCCTATGTGAGCTCTTTCTTCAGCTGACAGGATGAAATTCAGACATCTAATTAGGATTTTAACTAATGAAGTTGTACATATTGTTGATTTCTGAGCTGAATGAATGTGGGACCTGTAAAGTCTTTACCATCAATGGAAAAGTTTGGAAGACAAAGTTTATTATGTTCACAAATAGGAAGCATGAATGTGCAGCACTGATGTATGTAAACAATAAAACATGTTTCCTTAACGAGAGAGAGGCGGATGTGACGTCACCGATAAGCACCTCTGTAACCGTCTATCTTCCGCCCAGCTTGCAAGCCGAGGAGTCCAAACTGCTCTATAGATTTCCGTTTCGCTGAACTCGCTTCTGGTTGCTCCGGCATTACGAGCCAAGTCAACTTCAAAAGGTAAATATCGCAGAGTTTTAAACCCACAAATAAACGCGACAGTTGTTTAAATTTGCCTGTTTACTCCCCAACGGCACCGGGCCTTGTTTACATCTCAATCCCCGGAGTAGAGTAGGTGAGAGGCGGAGGCTTATCTGAAGGAAATGATACGGAGGGCTGCTTGTTTGGAGTTCTTTTCTGTTAAGGGAGCAAAAACAACTTTTTTGGGAAACTTTTATTTAAGTCTGCTCTAAAAGAAAACGTGTTTTTATTTATTTATTTTACAATTAACAGCATAACTACCAGCACGCTAGCAAGGAAGCTAATCCTGCTAACGACAAGTCAATCATTCTCTCTGGTTTTCCTTGTTTTTATCTTTGTCTCCTAAAACTGCACCGATGTGCCAGTGGGCCTGCTCGGAGTGGTTCAAACAGTTCCCACGCTCCTTAATCCACTCATACTAGTTATTTGTTTTTATCCAAATTCTGTTATCTAATCTGTTGTGAGTAGCTGTATTTAATTAGCCCAGAGAGATCTGTGTCACCCAGTTTGCTGCCTATTTTTAACCTGAATCGGATCGGACGGAATGCGAACATTCGTCTGTAGCTGCGCTGGCTGCCCAGTCGGCTGGCAAGGTTTTCCCCGGCTAACCTTATTTTCTCCTCCAGGTTAAACGTGCAAAGTCACATTTACCCTCACTGATGTATCCTGACGGCAGTGACTGTAAATCCCATGTTAAATCAATCACCAGCTGGGCCTTGTTTGGTTTCTAGCGTCCTCAGGGTCCACTTAAACAATAAAGTTGCAGGATTATTTCAACTAAATATTTGCTACAAAGAAAATGTGCATGTTGGCATTCAGAAAACACGGGTTCTTTATCTAAAAAAGTTGTATGATATGCTTCTGACCCTGTCTTTCAAATAAAAACAGATAATAGTAGATATTTGTTGGTCAAAGTAAAGTTATATGTCATGCTTTTCAGTCAGACATTATTGCTGATTATCTAACATTTACTTGGGATTAGTCCTCAGTTCAGTGCTGCATTGTAATTTCACACCAAGTTCTATTAGGTGAAGATTTATTTGATTCATTTTTGTTGAGGCAAAGGTTTCTTCGAATCTTTGAAACTGTAATCTTCGGCTTTTTTATTTCAGTAACGGTGGCATATGTGAAACTGAAATGTGTAATTTGTGATGAAAGGGACAATCGTGAGACTAAATCAGTGCTTCACAGACATTTTGGTTTCCATTCACGTTAAATGATTGTGCCAGAGAATTTTACAAACGATCCTAAAGCTAAACAGAAACAGGGGATTTGATGACGATACAAGTATTTGAACCGGTTTTATGTATATTTCAGTTTTACCTTTCCTAACACTGGTAAAATTATCTATGCTCAATAATTTCTTAATTTAGTTTGGCTTCAGGAGATCATCTCAAGACCTCCCATTTGTTAATTGGTCCACAAGTTCATCATTAGTCACACCCTCGTGTGGAAAAACTTATTTTCAACCATTAAAATAATGTTTCGGCTTGTTTTAGGAATCCCCTACTTTATGTGCTGTTCTGTAAGCACTATCATAGACGTTGAGCATTGACTGGAACAGTGACTATGTTCAGATTTCCTGGCATCGTTCAAACTTTTTACTTCCAATTCCTAGTTTAGATAACCCAGTGCGCCGTCCGAAAGAAGAAGCAGCCAAATACCAACAAGGAAGAATCCATCGGACGTGTTTGCGTTACTGTGTTCTACAGTGTGGCTTCATTTTAATTAAATTCATGGAGAAGTTCGAATTATTTCATCAAGTAATACCGACTGTTGACTAGGGTTGTCTCGATACTAAAATTTCAAACTCGATTCGATACTGGGAAAAAAAACTCTATACTCGATTTCGATACTATTTAAAAACACCAATTTATTAAACAAGTTTATTCCAAAAATAACATTCCTCTATTTTTATTGCAAAAATTAAATGTTAAGAATTAAGTGTAAAAAGTGCTTAAACCTTTCAAGTATCAGCATTTTTTAAAACGTGCATACAAGAACTGGCGAAAGTTAACACTTTAAATCATGAATTGTCTCACTATACATACACTATTTGCAGAGTGATGTTTTGCTGCTTAAACTCTGTTTAAGGTGCATTTTTGTCATTAGATGTAATGCCATATGTTTTGTTCTGTACTTTTGAACAACTCTGTTGGTCAATAAAGAGAGAAAACGAATTTCTCCACAGTAGGACAAAGGTACATCTACCGGTAATCTTAATAAAAACAGATTGGCGCACGGCAGTGACGTCTTTAAAAGCGCCGGTTAGATTAGCTGCGGCTAGTCTGTTCACGAAATCCCAGACTCGCTCCAAACGAACAGGGGAATCATGTTAATGATTCCTAACAAAACCTTTCCACATTGAGATGTTTTGGTGCAGATAATGTCTTATTTCGAGGCTGCACCATGGGTGCCCGTCCGCACCCGTTATATGGATATACACTGATGGCGATTCGCCGATGGATCTAAATACCCCGGGGAATCCAAGTAGCACCAAAGTTGTCAGCGTGAGTAAACAAACGTACTGCATGCTAGAAATTAAGTCCGGGTTGCAATAAATAGGAGTTTTCCTTTAAGCACATAAGCGTGAATATACAACTACGTGTCAGATTTGGTATGCTAATAAGTTGGGCTGTGAAGCGCCTCCCAAATTTGCTGTTTTTGTTTATTTATTTAGCAGACAAAACTTGGATCGGAGACAACTCGCGTGGGAAATTGCAATGTAGCCATGCGGCGTCTTCTTCTTCTGTTTGTCTGGGAGGCGGAGGCTGCTTTACGGCATCTGGCTGTCGTGCGTGTCGGTGTACTTGAAGAAGGCTGTGTATAATAGTCCATAATATCGATACCACAGGGATGGAATATCTAATTTAGATACCACTTTAGCATCGATTTATATCTGGGTATCGATTTTTTTGACAACACTACTGTTGACTGGCTCATTTAAAGCATGTCAAGTTTTTGGACCCTCCCTCTTGAAAGAATCTTAATCTGGAATTGAAACAAGGAAATGGAACCTGAACTGGAAAGATCCAAATTCAAACGATGCCCAACCCACCAGAAAACGATTTAATTCTAATGAATCACAAATGAATGGATGTTTTATGATGCAAATGTGCTCTTTCTCTCCTCAGTCTGTACTGCAACCTGCTGTCCAAATGAGTGACGGAGAGTGTAACTTCTTCTGCTTCTTCCGCTGCTGCTGAGCGCGCTCCTTTGCGCCTCAGATAGACAAGAAGGAAGGGTGCCTCTGAACACCGACCCTAGGGGGGGGGGGGTAAGGGCAGGGAGGAAAAGCAAGGTGAAGGTGGAGCTGCAGCTGAACCATTTCAGCTACAATTGGACCACTTGAATCCGACAGGTAGGCGGTCCGTCTACCTGTGCGGGTGGTAGGTTCGGTCGACTGATGTCTGTGGACATGAGCAGCCAGGCGTCGGACAGCAATGAGGAGGACTTTGGGGCGAACTCTGAAGAGGAGGATGATGAAGACGATGGCGCAGAAGAAGAGGATCAGACAGACTATTATGAGGGAGTGGCCGGTGATGTGGAGCAGCAAAGTGCTGATTCCTTCGACCCGGAGGAGTACCAGTTCATCTGTTTGTCGTACAAAGACAGCCAGCATGTGCTGACGGAGGAAGTAAACACTGTGGCTGCTGCTTTGAAGGTGAGTTTTAGGAGCTGAATCATGAGACTTGAATCACTCAATAATTGGACTGAGTTGACAAAAGCTGTCTACTCAAAAAAGGGCACAAAATTACAAAAGAGATCATTTGGACTCCTTTTTAAAAATATAAATGATGATTTTAGGGGGTCTTGCACATCAAACCGGAACAGGAATGCTCTGGGTAATTACGTCACTGCTACTTGACTCTAAAAGCTGTGCTGTAGCAGTTTATTTATTTATTTTACTGGTGGAAAACCAATCTTTCAAGGAGATGCAGTGGAAGACTAATCCTTGTTAGTTATGCTTTTAGAAATTAAAATATAAATATATATTTTTCATAGTTGTGTCAATTTGCACCAAACATTTAAAATAAGTACAAATAAAAATGCTAATCTACTAATTCTAACCATGCAGCAAGATGTATTCATCTTTTACCGGGTCTAGAAGGATTTACAGGTTTTATGCAGGTGCAGAAAATCCTTCAAATTAATGAAAGATTATAAAAGATTTCACATTTGTGAATAAAGTCTAAAAGCTTGAAACAGTGTTTTGTGGCCTTTGTTAAAAATTTTATCGGATTTAAAGGTTTTCTTTTTGTTTAATTAAATTAATCACTTCCTATTAGTATTAAAATTAATAAATTATAATAAAATCATAATAAATTGTAAAACAAAATGACATTGAAGCTTCTTGAAAGCTGTTGACTGGGTAGAAGTTAGAACTTTGTGTGTTTGCTTGTTCTTTACAAATCTTTGCATTGCTGAGGTGTTCGTGACTCAGGTGTTTGGGAGAAAATCGTGCATGCGTCTCTGAAACATTATGTCCTTCCTTTGACTTTAGGCACACTGCAGCCTTGTTGTCCTCTTGTTTTGCAGGTTTCCCCATCAGTAGCTAAACTGATCCTGGTGCATTTTCACTGGCAGGTTTCACAGATCCTGGACAGGTATGCTTCCACCACTCCTTCACCGTTCTTGTCTTTACTTGTCAGACTGGAGATTTATTTTATGATGATAATACTTTTTCTTTGCCTATGAAACACACCCAGAGTTTTAAGGTTTATTCTTAGGAACCTTTCTCTTGTACTTCCTCCTCTCTTGAACTTTTCGAAATGTGATTGAGGCTCTTCCTCAAATGTTTTGCTCTGATAAATCTTATAAGCACTAGAATTCTTATAGTGCTTATAAGATTTATCCCTAGCACCACCTCTGTTTGCTTCCTCTGTATTGATATTTGATAGTTAAAGTTGGGCGATTGGACGAATTTATCGACCATCGATGATAGTCCAAGCCCTTTGCCGATCATTGTAAGAGTGATATTTTTTATGCCTATGAATTAGTCTCATAGATGGGCCATACCATACTTTATTAGTTTTCCCTATTGCCAATACCAATGCATATATGTAGGAGTCATAGTCAGCAAATGGCCGATATGGGCTGCGGGTTTTTTGGGGCGATATCCAGAAGGTTTCCATCTTATTTGCATGCTTAAATATCACTAATAACATCATTTGATGTTCAAAATTTCTGAAGCCGAACCAGTTTTTGAACTCTGAATCGAACCACTATTAAATCTTGTTTCTGTGCACTGCTCAGTGTTAAAATCAAACAAATCAATGAACTGACCACGTATTGAATATGCAAAGCTGGTGTATAAAAATTAATTTTAAAGATTTTATTTTGCAGATGTTGTTCAGGAATATAAATAAATAAATATATTTATATATATATATTTAAATTAAATTAAATTCTGCAGCAGGCTGACCGAGGATGTGCATGCTAAGGAGGTATATCTGCTGTCGCCCATAGAATAAAAACGGTTAATATCGACACCGATATTTTGCTGGACTGGTTTATCTATCTACCCCTACTTTAACACAAACAAATGATTCTTCTGTCAAACTTGGAAATTCATAATAATTTGCAGCTCACTGTTTGAAGCCTCATATCACTGACAGACTAGAGCTATGTCGAATTAAAATGGTCTTTAACATCCACAAGGGTCCAATAAAGTACTCCAATAAAATGGTTTGTCCACAACAAGTCTTACATCCACAGTCCGACATAAGTGGTTGAAAACCTTCAAAATTTCCTTCAAATGCGTGTCGTACCATTACAACCATCTTCATATTTGCTTCTAACTTTTGACCGACATCATTCCCCATCCAGCGTGTGAAGTTGAACCCTCCGTCTCTCCCTCCAAAGCTTTTATCTACTGGCCGGCCGATGGCTCAGAAGTACCAACCCCTTTCCTCATGTGTAGCTTGAACTATTTGCGATGCAGAAAGGTGTTCATTCATGCATCAAGTAGACGGTGATATTCCGAAAACAACAATCTCTTACATTTCGGACCAACCGTCTGCTTACAAGAACTGATTGGGAATGATTGTGATTGATGTATTGTTGCATGTTGGGCGCATTAAAAGTCTAAATCAGTGCCAACACGTCACCCATCGTCACTTTTTGGGTTGCTGACAAATGATCGGTTTGGAAATTTTTGCACATCACCAGACTTAAATCAGTGTGTTTACAAACGTCAGAAAACCAGACTGTTGCCTTAGTTTGACTGAAGTCGGACTTGTGAATGTCAACACTTTAGTCTGGCTGAAATCAAACTGATTCTAATCGAGCTGAAGTACCCAGATAAGTTTCATTTATTTGTTTCTGTTGATATTTTTTCACAGATATAAGTCCAACTCATCTCTGCTTTTGTCAGAAGCTCTGGTCCAGCTCAGCAGCACATGCAGATCAGTCACTGTGAGCAAATTTTGCTAGTGAACACATGACCAATGTTGAGCTGAAAATGACATCTGATTGGCTATTTGAGATGATGCTGAGAATAATGTGCTCATGACTGCTCTGTGTGTGTTTCAGGCCCCTCAGGCCCTCCAGTGTGGTGTGTGTTTACAGGTCGTATGGAGAGACTCACTGCTGGCACTGCCTTGTCAGCACTCTTTCTGCAAAGCATGCTGGGAGCAGCACTGCACCGTGCTGGTAAAAGATGGCGTTGGAGTGGGTGAGTGCTTCTGTGTGTGTTTTCTGTGCATCTTTGTTGTCATCAACGCTTCTAGTAGAGTGTTTGATCTGCAGTCTGTTTGATTGGGGCATCCAAAGGCTCCCTTGGGTTCATTTCATGTTTATTTTCCATATTTTTATGTTTCTGTTTTTCTATCCAATAATTTTTAAATACATCCACTTTCTTCTGGGTTTGAAAACTCGGAGAACACTTCACCTCTCGATTGTGCACACTTCCACGTTTGTTTACAGTTTTCTTCGTATGTGCACAGTCCTAAAATTCAAGAAAAAAATTTCAAACATTGACTTGTTGACTCCCATCTGGTGTTGGATTTATCAGGCAGGCATGCTGTTGCAGCAGCCTTGTGATTATCAGTGTGTGTCTGAAAGAGTGCCCACGTCAGCAGCATAGCAGATTGGTGTGTGGTTGTGTAGAGCCCTCTGTGTGTGTGGGTGTGTGGGTGTGTGCGTGTGTGTGTGTGTGGGTGTGTGTGTGTGTGTGTGGGTGTGTGGGTGGGTGGGTGTGTGTGTGTGTGTGTGTGTGTGGGTGGGTGGGTGGGTGGGTGGGTGGGGTACAAGTTATAATGTTTGTAGTGCTGTGTGCACGCCGTTTAATGCAGGCCACTCAAATGTCGCTTTTGACCTATTTATGTGTTCATTTAGAGTTGATTTAGTCTGTTTCACATGAACACATAAAGGTTGGGCGATTGGACGAATCTATCAACAATTGGCTGAGCCCTTCGCTCATCGTCGTTGAGTGATTATTTTTTTCATGCCTGTGAATCCGTCTTGCAGATGGGACATTACAAACTTCCACATCAAATATGCATCTTTTTAACTACAATATGTACGCATCCATGTAGCACATCATTAGAAAGTCTTGTGATTCTAATGATATATGGCAATAAATACAGTCATAACTTTATAACACAGTCATGCTTTTTTCAAACCACTCGGAAATTCCAAATAGAGTCGTAACTCACGCTTCAAACCCTGGTATCCTTAACAGAGCAGAGCCATCTCAGACAAAAACTGTCTGTTTACATCCACGAGGGTCCAAGTAGCCAATGAACAAAGATTTATGCACAAGGAAGGAACACTTGTGGTCTGCTTCCACAAAGAACAATTGTGATTAGTGGCGTGTTCTCACGCCAAGCCCAGAAAGCGTCACTTGTGCAAACATATCATCACCCATCATCATTTTTGGAGCCGTGAATATCTGTAAATGTTCTACGGCCTAACCTTTGTTCAAATTAGCTCTCATTCTCATTGAATTAAAACACAAAGTACAGGAATAATCATTGCATCTTTTATCAGGTGGCATTGTGGTCAACTTAAAACATTTATTTCTAGATTCAGCTAAATATATTAAAAGAATGACTTTTGAAAAATTGTGTCGGCCAATCTGTTGTGCTGCCATGGATGAGACCACAGTGTGTCTGCGAGACAAAGAAAAGAAAGTTGCTAATATTTACCTGAACAAGAATCTGTTTAGTAGAAAGCCGGTTGCAACCGTGAGCCATGACTCATAATTAAGACAGAAAACTGTGTGTTCAGGTATCTCGTGCATGGCTCAGGACTGTTCCCTGCGTATGCCAGAGGACTTTGTCTTACCGCTGCTGCCAGGAGAGGAGCTAAAGGACAAATACAGACGCTACCTCTTCAGAGATTACGTCGAGGTGGGTGACCGGCTTTTTGTGTTGTTAATCTGTTTGCTCGGATGCGTCGCCAAAGCCTGAATGTGGAACAACGGAGAAGCACATCTGGAGGCAGCGAGAAGAGAAACTAAGCAGCAGATAGAAATCATCTTTCATATTTGGTCTATAAACCGATTTTTATTCAACTATTTATTCAAATTATGTTTTGCTTAAATTGAATCAAATGTTATTGATTTGTAATTTCTTACATTATGCCATGCTTGCTCACAATAAATGAACACTTACAGATAAAATCTGCATTCCTTTTCTGATCTAGTCAGTTTAAGTCTGGATGATCCGTTTCAGGACACTTAAGGCTGTGACTCAATGCAATAATAATGGGAGGGAATAATTTTTTTTCCCCGTAATATTGTCTTACAAAAGTTTATGACTTTTGTCTTCTTTCTGACTTTGATAATTGTGTCATTTTCAGAGTCACTTCCAGCTGCAGTTATGTCCAGGTGCAGACTGTCCTATGGTCATCAAGGTGCAGGAGCCTCGGGCACGCAGAGTACAGTGCAGCCGCTGCAATGAAGTCTTTTGGTAGGACAAACACAGCAAAATCCTTTTCTCTTATATGCAGACATTAAGCTTGGGCTTTTATGAAATCAAGTCTTATTTTCAAAAAGGCTTAAAGGGACCCAAGTTAGATTTTTTTAAATAATATTTCTATAGTCTATTCAGAACATGTTCATGAAGATTTTGCCCACAATTCCTCAGACATGAAGTGATTTCGGCAGTTTAATAGTTTCAGTACCTTCCATAATGAGCCATTTCAGGGCTCTGTGACTTTAAAGGTGTGGAACAGAAAAACAAATTTGTCATTATTAGTTCTGATAATAATCGTTCACTCTTAGGTCTTCTTGCAGGCTGAACATGAAGATGGTCTCCTACACCTATCCCCTGCATTAGCTTCTGGTAGAAAATAGACGGTGAAACTCTAGGGCAGTGAACCTCAACTGGCAGCCCGCGGGGCCACATCCAGCCTGCCTGATCTTTCCACCTGGCCCCCCGACCCTTTGGGCCCTAACAACCCCCAATTGGGGAGCTTTTAAATTGAGCAGCGAAATTCCTGTCCCAAATATCAATAATGGTTTACATTCTCCAAACTCAACGGAAACTACAATCAAAACAGTTTAGATGGAAAACAAAGACATTTTAATTATTAATAAATTAAGATACAATAATATCTGAACTTTTTGGCCCTTACAGTGTCTGCTGGGAAAAACCTCTGGTGCCAGAACAAATTTAGTTGAAGACTCGTGCTCTAGGATTTGAAAAGCCTGACAGATCTACATCATACGTAACGTTCAAGGACTCGCCCATCTGTCTTTTACCATCCAGGAAACGGCAGAGAACATCATGGCTAGTAGAAGTTAACTGTTAGCATTAGCAACTCCACCCCACAGCAGAACTCCTTCAGATTTGTGTTATTTGTGAAGATAAAACGGCGTTGCAGAGCAAACGGAGTCAGTGGTAGTCACGTTGCTGTTAGCCAATCCGAGGTGAGATGTCCAAATATCAGGAAATAAGACTCCAAATCCTGCTGTCTGAAGCTACTTTCTCCTCTAGCTGACATGTTCTTCCTGATTCAGGCACATCTGAGATATTTTTTCCCCAGAGTACGACTTACAAGGCGTTCATTCCTGCTAGAGACCACTGTAAATGTATTGATTACGTGAGTGTTCAACACCTTTTAAAAAACTGGCTGCTGCTGGCCACACCCACTCATCCCCTGGTAGGCTGGGTGTTTATTGCAGATGAAAATGGGGAATTACGGGTCACACACCTGGTTTCTCTACCAACAGTGTTGTAGTTAAAGCACCATGCTGCAGCCCAGTGATTTAAATCCAGAAATCAGTTAGGTTGTGTCCTATTTGCTCCCACATATGATTTAATGGCTAATTTAAAAGCACGTAAATCTTGGCTCCACACTCGTTACAGGACAAACTAGCTCCCGAACCAAGATGGTTCATGTTTAACTGCGACAGTAACACAAAAATCAAAACTCATAAGTATTTATATCTCTCTCATCTGCTGACTTGACACAGAGAGTATACAGCTCCCTCCATCAGATGTTTCCTGGCTAAGCCTTCGTGGTTCTCAACCGCATACTGACCTGAACAGACCTACGTCAAACCACTCCATGCTCCATGTTGCATCTCCATCCATTCTCAGTTAGTCTGGAGTCAGGTCATAAGGACAGCAGAGAAATCCAAACGTCCCTCTCCTCAGCCACCTGGGTCAGCTCCTCTCGGGAAATAATCCTAAACTGTTCCCAGGCTAGCTGAGAAACGTATTTTTTCCAGTGAATCCTCGCTCAATTAACAAAAATGTCAGATCCTCAACAATTTTGGTGGGTGGGGACTCGACAGGTGAAGGGCTATGCAAATTTTCCTTATTGTGACATCACAATAAGAGTTTTTAAAACGATTAATTTTAGGCACAATTCCTAAAACCAACCACTGACCGAGCATGATGGTGCAAAAGGGTGTAAAAAGTCTTGTTGGCATATTGTGTCCCCTCTACAAACGAGACGTGTTTATTTGGATATTTTAGTCGTACTTGTTTTTTAAAAATAAAAATTTCCAGCTTGGTGCCTGCTGTAATGTCACTATTTTTACAAGGACTGTTAGAAACGTTACAGTCTGCATGGACGTGACTATTCATTCTTCTGTTTTCTCCCCAGTTTCAAATGTCGTCAAATGTATCATGCACCTACAGACTGTGCAACAATTCGAAAATGGCTGACTAAATGTGCAGACGACTCGGAGACTGCAAACTACATCAGCGCACACACTAAAGATGTATGACGACTGCATGTGCACACGCATAAATACCCATACATTTTTGTTTGCTGTGAGCAAAAGATTTAAATGGGAAGATAATAGCTGTTTATTTTTCCTCCAGTGTCCGAAGTGTAATATCTGTATTGAAAAGAACGGAGGATGCAATCACATGGTAAGAGCTGGGAATCACACTTTCACACAACAGAATAATGCTAAAAACACAAACTCGGACTCCAGCTAAAGCCAGCTTTGTTTAATGGCTTCATTCAATCGACAATAAGCAGATTTATTCCCTGATTCTTAAAACTATTTTTAAATCAGACTTTGTGTTTAATTCAACCCTGAGGGGTTATGTGTGCTGTTTAAGCATGGTTCTGGTTTATTAACTGCACCTCCTTCCTGTGTGTGTGTCTGTTTCAGCAATGTTCCAAGTGCAAACACGGTAAGCTGTTTATCTCCGAGCTTAAAAGCTCCTTTAAAGAAAAAGTCACACATCGCACAAATGTTACGTTTGGATTGTTTGCCTAATGTTTTAGCATCTTTTTGTCAACATAAAACCTTTCAAAACAACATCGAATGAGCTTTAACTAAGACTGGAAACTCAGATTTTTTTTCCTTCACTTTTCCCACATGCCGCCATTCTCCTTGTTTTAAAGGGTCTATCAAATTTAAAGCTGTTTAGTCATCTAGAGAAACTGTAAAATAACTGATCGACAGATCTGGTTCATACTTGTTTTATAAAAAGTGCTTGCCTTTATTTGTAAATATATAGTCTCATAGGCAGAGCTCAGGGGGTGGAGTCCACTGTTGTCTTTCAAATTGTCTCTGCACACAACTGGACAGCGCTAGTACCAGAGCAACAAACATGACAAATTCATAGTGACTAATTCGGTTAGCGGGGATGTCCGCCATTCACTGTCCTTTTTCGGAATAAAGGCCCTAAGTGTCTCTTCGCTCATGTCTCAAGTAAAATCCCAGGAGGTCTAAATCGTCCAAAGTTGATGCCAAAGCCCTTTAAAACTGCCGTCATCTTTGTTGTTTTACTCCATCGCATCTTAATCTAAAATGCATTTTAAAAAGCTCTGCCATAATGATTCAAAGCCCGCTCAACATCTCTACAAACATGGAGTGCTGTGATTGGCCTGACCTAAACTTAGCCAAGCCAAAGGTAGACCTGCTGAGGCTCCAATGGACCAGGGCAAGACTGACCTGCAGAGCAAAATCTTCTGCTACTGCTACAGTTTGTCTAAAGCTCTAGGCTACCAATTTGCTGCTGGCAAACTTCACAAAGGCTTGTTTTGTGTTTTCTGAAAGACTTTTGCTGGATGTGTCTCGGAGACTGGAAGACTCACGGCAGTGAATATTACGAGTGCAGCCGCTACAAAGAGAACCCAGATATAGTCAACCAGAGCCAGCAGGCTCAGGCCAGAGAGGCCCTCAAAAAATATCTCTTCTACTTTGAGAGGGTGAGTATTTTTTCTTCTATGGATTATTTGCATCCAGAAACGTGACGATCCCTATACTCCACTTAATGTTTAGTTTTGCTTTAGAGACTAGATATGAATTATAAATAGAAACTGAACATTGACCTGCTTTTCATGTCTGTGCGCTAACAAACATGCTCCTCTTACACATCGTCTTTTCCCATTTCATTAAATCATTCTGTTTAAATGCAAACACCAGTATAGTTTTGTTTTCTCTAAATGGGGAGTTGTTGGCCTGCTCAGCTCACACTGATGGCAACGTTTACTTCCCGCTGCCTACAGAAGAGCAGCGATGGAAGCCAAGAGTTTATTCTTTAGATGTTTTTCAAAGTCAAGCTGTTCAAGCTTTTGTGCACTTCAATAAAAATGCCGAGTAAAGGAAAAGTTCAAAAAGATTTCAATAAAGTTGGCAACACAAATGGTTCTGCGGAAAACAAAAAGGCCATTTAACAAAAATAAAGATTTTACATATATTTGTTATTTTGTTCTTTTCATCACAAGTGGGAGAATCATAACAAGTCTCTGCAGCTGGAGGCTCAAACGTACCAGAGAATCCAGGAGAAGATCCAAGAGAGAGTAATGAACAATCTGGGCACTTGGATTGACTGGCAGTATCTGCATAACGCTGCGAAGCTGCTGGCTAAGGTACAGAGGAAACTCCACCCACGTGATTGAAGATTTTACTGGTAGAACACAACCCCAAATCGAGTTTTACTGAAGTTTACTATAAATCTTTAGCCTGGCAAGCCAGACTAAATAAATGTATTATTTAGTCTGGCAACACTCCATTGACGGCTCTCGGTTGTGGGGCGGGTTCTACCGTTGTCTTTCAAATGATCTCCACATTCCACTGGACAATGAATGTGACATACTCTTGTTTCACTCTGTTGCATCATCCCACCCACCAGGCATATAGAGTGCCCTGATTGGCCCACAAAGCGGATAAAGCTCTGTGATTTGTTCACTAAGCAGATAGAGCACTATGATTGGCCCACCATTATGAACCAACCACAGCTCCTTATGTGTTTGAAACCCCTCTAGAGAGCTGTGATTGGCTAGCCAGAGTCCTGGTAGGAGCTGCGGAGGTTCCAATGGAGCGTGCCTAGACCAAACTTTGCAAAGCAAGAATTTGGTCTAGTTCACTAGGCTAATAAATCTTAGCAAGCAGTTCTTAATTTAGCATCTATACAAGGATACCTGCATAGGGTAGCTGTTCAAATTAAAAATACATTTGGAATAAATAAATGCTGTTGTCACTGAGCATAAATGTGGAACTGGTGTTCAACACGGCCTTAGTATGTTCTTTGGAACTCCTCATAACCTTTTCCTTGTTAGTTTTTTATATAGAAAATAAATTGGTAAAATTGTAAATTATGGCCAACCCTGGTTTCCCGGTAGATGCATAATCATTGCAAAGCGTCAGCAAAGTGTAATACGCTACTAACAGCCACCGTTTTATGGGCGTGCTTTCTGTGGGCGCTGAGCAACACGTTCCAGAAGCCTAGTGTGGTTGTGCCCTGCAAAATTTACGAGATGGGTCTATTTTTTTTTCGCGCCACGCTTCAAAGAACACGTCTGGAAGTTCAGATCGGGTCAGACAGGAAGTCAAACACTGGAGCTTTTTAAAGCATACTGAAACTTTCAAAATAAAAGACACGTGCATGTTTCCAGTTGCAGTGACACCTCTGTGGCCGAGGTAAGAGAACAGAAAATAAGCCAGACCTTTAGGATTTGTGCTGACGTCCTTGTTTTGCATGTTAGGGAGTGAACTGAAAAACCATGCGTAATCTTGCAATTCTCTAATGATTTTGTGATCTTGCGGGGCCAGAGGAGTGGAGCGCATTTGCTGCTGCCGTGCGTCTGAAACATTCCTGGTAGGAAGGGAGACGTCTCAAAACATGTCTATTATGTTACGTGTCGCTTATGCATCTGGTGGAAAGTCTGGGTTAGTTTAGATCACTTCTACGGCTAAACTTCCAGGTTTTACATTTCGGCGATCGCTGTCTTTTTGAGATGTATAAAACATTTCGTTTAACAAGAATAATTTTTTTGTTTCTAGTGTCGCTACACACTGCAGTACACCTACCCCTACGCCTATTACATGGAGTCCGGCCCTCGTAAAAAGCTGGTGAGAATCAAACGTTACTTTGCTCTTCCTCTCAACCTCTTTCGTATTTGATCCAGTAGCCATGATGAAATTTTTTTTTCTCATTGTCTTCTGCAGTTTGAATATCAACAGGCCCAGCTGGAAGCTGAGATAGAAAACCTGTCGTGGAAGGTGGAGCGAGCTGACAGTTATGAGAGAGGAGTTGTAGGAGGCGAGGGCGAGCTCAGCGCCAGTGACAGAGGGGTAGGATTAGGCTCACTTAAGCAGTCATGTTAATATTTTAATATATAATATTTATGCTACAATACCTTAGGCCGCAGTTCGATGATTGACTTTGTTGTCCATTCATCTGATCTGCGGCCGCATGTCTTGAACACTCGGGCGAAGAGAGGGGCAGAGCTGTCAACTGACCACTTCCTGGTGGTGAGTTGGCTTTGATGGTAGGGGAGGAAGTCGATCAGAAGTGGCAGGCCCAAAAGTATTGTCAGGGTCTGCTGGGAACGTTTGGCCGAGTCTGCTGTCAGAAGGAGCTTCAATTCCCACTTCTGACAGAACTTTGAACAAGTCCCGAGGAAAGCGGGGGACATGGAGTCCGAGTGGGTCATGTTCCGTGCTTCTGTTGTTGAGGTGGCTGACTGGAGCTGCGGCCGCAGAGTTGCCGGTGCCTGATGTGGTGGCAACGCCCGAACCCGCTGGTGGACATCGGCGGTTTGGGATGCTGTCAAGCTGAAGAACGAGTCCAATCGGGTCTTTTTGGCCTGTGGGACTCCAGAGTTAGCTGATGTATACCGGCAGTTCAAGCAGAATGCGACTCGGGTGGTCGCGGAGCCAAAAACCCGAGCATGGGGGGAGTTCGGTGAGACCATGGTGCAAGACTTCCATATGGCTTTGAGGAGATTCTGGTCAACCCTCCTGCATCTCTATAGGGGGAAGCAGTGCATTACCAACATTTTTTACATGGTGTGTTGCCGAACACTGGCCCAGCTCTACACCCTTAGGGGGATCCTGGAGGGTGCGTGGGAGTTCGCCCAACCAGTCTACGTGTTTTCTGAATTTGGAGAAGGTGTTCGACCGCGTCCCTCGGTCCCTCGGTGGTCCTCTGGGGGGTATTCCGGGAGTATGGGGTACCAGGCCCTTTGATAAGGGCTGTTAGGTCCCTGTATGACCGGTATCAGAGCTTGGCCCACATTGCCGTCAGTAAGTCTAGCTTGTTTCCGGTGAGAGTTGTATTCTGCCAAGGCTGCCCTTTGTCACTGATTCTGTTCATTACCTTTATGGACAGGATTTCTAGGCACAGTCAAGGTGTTGAAGGGACCCGTTTTGGTGGCCTAAGGATCAGGTCTCTGCTTTTTGCAGATGATGTGGTCCTGTTGGCTTCATCGGATACTGATCTCCAGCTTTCGCTGGAGCGGTTCGCAGCTGAGTGTGAAGTGGCTGGGATGAGAATCAGCACCTCTAAATCTGAGACCATGGTCTTAAATCAGAAAAGTATAGAAGGCCTTCTCCAGGTCAGGGACGAGGTCCTGCCTCAAGTGGAGGAGTGTATCTATTTTGGGGATTTGTTCACGAGTGAAGGAAAACTGGAGCGTGAGATCGATAGGCGGATTGGCGCTGCATCTGCAGTGATGCGGGCGTTGCACCGATCTGTCATGGTGAAGAGAGAGCTGAGTCAAGGCGAAGCTCTCAATTTACCGGTCAATCTACGTTCCTACCCTCACCTATGATCATGAGCTTTGGGTAGTGACCGAAAGAACGAGATCACGGATTCAAATGGCCGAAATGAGTTTTATCCGCAGGGTGGCTGGGCTCTCCCTTAGAGATAGGGTGAGAAGCTCGGTCATCCGGGAGGGGCTTGGAGTAGACTCGCTGCTCCTCTAGGTCGAGAGGAGCCTGTTGAGGTGGCTCAGGCATCTGGTCAGGATGCCTCCCTGGTGATGTTTTCCGGGCACGTTCAACTGGGAGGAGACCCAAGGGTAGACCCAGGACACGCTGGAGGGACTATGTGTCTCACCTGGCCAGGGAATGCCTTGGGATTTCCCCAGAAGAGCTGGCCCAATTAGCTGGGGAGAGGGATTCTGGGCGTCTCGGCTAATGCTACTGCCCCCGTGATCAGACTATGGATAAGTGGCTGAAAGTGGATGGACGGATGGACGGATGAATGGATGGATGGATGGATGGATGGATACATAATGATGGCACACATGCTTCTGTATTTTTTGTTAGGATCTGGAGAATCAGATGCACATTGCTGAGCAGAGGCGACGTACACTGCTGAAGGATTTCCATGACACCTGAGGCTCCAAACGCGACTGCAAAGCACCAGCATCTCCCTCCTTCCTTTCTTCCGTGTCTCCTACCAACACTTCCTTCCATGATCATCCGATGTTTGCAGTCACACTGACTTCTTCCTTAACCTCTCTGCACATGCCCTTTTGCTTCAGTTGTTCTGTTCTTTTTTCTATCCTCCTACTACAGTAATGCTGCAGGGTCACAGAATGTCACGTTTGTATCATCCACATTTACACTGTTCTGTTTCACCGTGGTTACACTTGTTTCACGGATCTGATCATGCAGGTCAGTGCTTGAAAACATACTTAACTGGGAGAAATCCTCAGGTGTTACTCCTGTGATGGAGGAGTTGTTCAAAGAGAGAAAAGCTTAAAATGTTCAGAATAAAGAAAGTTGTGTTAAGTAGATGTTCAAATCCTGGGAGAGGAACAGTAGATTTGAATGTTTGCTCCGTTCTAAAAATAAATAAGAGTTTCACCCCATTTAATGCAAGAGATTGATGGTAAAGAACAAAATAACTGCCATAGAGGTAGTCTCATTTTTTATAATTACCTCTTGCAGCCTTTGACCAGTTCCAGCTGGTGGAGAGTGATGCTTCCTGATGTTGCTGCTACTGGTTTGGTTGTGGCTTGACTGTTTCCAGCCATACCCGGTTCTTCGTAACGTGATGATTAACCTACCATAAACGAATCAGATGCGATTGCTGTGAAATTACTAACATGAGACCTAAATAAAATGAAAATTGGAAAGTTTCTGAAGTGATATTTGTGCCCAAGAGTAAATATTAAACTTGGATAGCAGCTACTTTAGATTTTTTTTCTTCCGCAGCACCTACCCTGAAGGTGCTCTGCCATTTTTATTGTCCTATCAAACAAATGTAGCTTTGATCGTGCAAGCACATACAAATTTGAAACACGATTGGTTGTACTGTATCAAGGTTAAGGACCTTCATTGATCAGATAAAGTTGTTTTGATTTGACAAGTGTAATTCACAAATGTTACACCACCTCCCGCTGACGACAACATGAGTCGTTTATGTCAACATGCGCAAACACTCCACTTCTCCACCTCCAAAACCACCCAAATCAGAACCTTTCACCATTAACTTGTCTCCCTGTAATCTCATGCATTATCTTCTGTCGTAATGGTCATCTCTTCATTTTATTTTTTCTGATTTTGTTTCTGTCCATCTCATATTGCTCACTTTTCTTCTGGAAACTGGCTGTTGATAGTTCATTTAAAAAAGAAACATAAAAGCAAAAAAAAAAATTACTGTAATTTTCAACGGTTGTACATTAATACAGAAATAGAGTTACTGAGAGTTTTTAAAACTGGACCATGTGTCTCGTGTCTTTATTACACACCAAAAATCCTTTAGCTTTCAGGCAAAAATTAATATAGTAACAAGTGGCAGTGCAGTCACCGAAGGGTTTCAGGCTGAAGCTCCAGCAGCTGCAGTTGTTTTGACCTTGGGCGACTCGCCTCGCCTGCTGGTGTGGGTCAGAAGGACCGGTGATGCCAGTATACGGCAGCGTTGCCATATTGCCACTGTTGCACCCCAGCACAGCTGTGGCTACATTGTAACTCATCACCACCAGCATGTGAATGTGTGTGAATGATGGGTGTGTTGTAAAGTGCCGGGGGGGGGGGGGGGGGGGGGGGGTTGTGGAACTCTAGAGGGTGCATATCAAATACAGTCCATTGATTCTTTACATCAAAAGAGGAATGTGGAATGATTTCAGAGTTAGTAGGACACACTTGGGTGTTCCAAGTCTTCTAAACAAGTGGATTTAAATGGCAAATATGCAGTGTAGTTTTTTTACTGTAAGTATTAATCTAAGTAATACACAACTTTCAGAAACACTTCACATTTCCTTTTAGTGGTAAGGGTAGTTGGCTGTATGGCAAACACGTTTTCAGCTCTGTACCTATAAAAGGTAAGTTACAGATAAATATAAACTACAATTTTGCAGATTCATATTAGCCTTTTTCTTAAAATAAGCTATTTTTCAAAGGAGGGCGGGGGTTGCTGGTTAGCCGGATGTGACGTCGAGTCGGAAGCTGTCAGAACTGCACGTGTTGGAAAAAGCTGCAGAAAACATGAACAGCAGGCGCGAGGCCAGAGAAGTAACGTTATTTTTATTTGTAACAAATTAATTTTCTACCCGCTTTGTGAACATTAACGGACACATACAGCAGGACAGCTGTTACGGACGCGCGAGGCAGCGAAGCGGAAGGTTAACCGGGAGGGAGGTCATCTTGTCACGGCGCGCGCAGGTAGAAAGTTCTCGTTGTCTTTACTTGTTCACTTGTGTGTGCCGCGTTTTAGATTTAGTACACTCCAGTTGCCTTAAGAGTTGATTAAGGTGGTTTCTCGTTGGATAAGGGCTTTTGGACGTCATGGCGGACTACCTCATCAGCGGACAGACCGGTTACGTTCCCGACGACGGGTTGACAGGACAGCAGCTGTTCAACTGCGGAGACGGACTCACATACAAGTAAACACTGATGCGCTAATCATCACTGACAACTAATGCTTCTCGTTTACTAGTCAGTAACTCACCAGTTACACAAACTAATAAATAACACATTTTCCAGTCATGCTTTCATATTTAAATGACTTCACGTTTCAGTTGGTGTGTGATCATATTTTTGCATCTGGACAGTCCCTAAAATAAAAGCCAAATAAATAATTAACCCTAACCCTTACATGTGGTGATGCCAGAAGTGCTTTAAAATCAACAAAATACATTTTAATCTGAATTGGAGCCCTCCGAGTACGTCGACATGGTCGGGACATAGAAGGGGGTGCGCGGCTAAATAAGTTTGGGAACCACTGGTTTAGGTTGATGTTTTTTCAAAGTTTTACTCAAGAGAAATAAAGTTTAACTATCTCATTGGATGTCCAGAATAGTGATGGGCCAATATTGAGTCATGAATGGTATACCAAGATATCAGTGACTAACGTGTTATACTAAATCGATTTATAACAGCAGTGTATCCATTTTTTTAAAAAGTTGAGATAGTACGTGCAAACATTTATTGCATTTCTTTGTGTGGTGCAATTCAAACTCCGACTGCTGGGCGGCAGCAGATTTTACCTACTCTATTCTAACGGAGCAAGATCTCACGATAACACCGGACCTGTGTGGAAATGTCTGACCTGAGTTTTCCAATTAAATTATGTCTGAAAAATAACAGAAGATCGTCTGGCTTTTATTATCTCAATAGATCTTATCATCTTGCCTGTATTGTGATGAATATCGTATTGCCAGATTCTTGACAATACTCACCCCTACCAATAAATAGGTGGATTAGTTATCCTACAGTAATATTTAGTGCTGCGTGTAAGGATGAGTGATATAACCTAAATAATTTCAGTGTTACATGGAAACCTACTAAAATTATAGTGTGATGATGGTAAATGATCAGTATAGGGTGCGTAATCCCCAGAACTGAAAGTATTGTTAGGATTGTTGCTTTTGCAGTTTGAAATTACAGCATTAAAAACAGAAAACGGTGCATTAAATACCTACTTAAATGTAGTTTTTGTTTCAATGATTATGAGTTGAAATCATATATTTGGGGCAGCTTTTGCTCAGAAACAGTTATTCGTTTATTCTGGTCTGTCTGATGATCACACTGATATTGTGTGGATGCTTCACACTCCTCTGAAACATAACACCCTCTGAAGCTTCCTGAGAGAGAAATTCATGTCATGTCCAGCTTGAAATAGTCCAGGCCTCTCTTTTTTTTTCTTGTGATTTATGGTTTCGGCTAAATATGCTTGGACAGTTTAAAGTACACACAAAAATATTGAAAAGTTTAGATATCTGTTTATGTAGTCACATTTTTTCTCTAGATGGATTGATTGAGAAGTCTGAGCAGCTTTAAACAGCTGGATGTTACTTTATAGACTTTTAATTGTTAGTGTTTTTTATTTCTTATTATTAATTTATTAAGAATTTAGTTATTTTGGGGGGAAACTAACTTTACTTTCTCTCCCACAGTGACTTCCTGATTCTGCCGGGCTACATCGACTTTACAGCTGATGAAGTGGTGAGTGATGATGGATAAATGTCTACTTTGAGCTGATGTTATCAAGCGTATCAGATGTTTGGATAATCCTTATTGGGGGGTATATAGAAGCGACTGAGTCTGGCCTCACAAACTTATAGCTCTTGCTTTATGTGAGGGTATTAAATGTTTACTGCAAGGTATCAGTGTTACAGCAGCCGGGGGTGGGGGATGGGGGGGTGGGGGTGGGGGCTGGCTAAATGAGGACGGTCATACAATCATAAGTTGGTGGGTGGATGCAGCTGGAGTGGTACAGCCCCTACGAGTACTTCTCATTTGGCAGATTGCTTTCTTGCCCACATAGTGCATCGGTCATAGTTTCATTTCAGTCTGTTGAGTCTTGACCAACTTTCTGTATAGTTCAGTTTACTTCATGTAAGCCCGGACCAATCTGTGTGTTTTTTTGGGTTTTTTTTTGGCCGTCTTAGACAAATCTCACGTCATGAATGGAAGTGTGACAAAAAACCATGTACGTTAGGGTGATGTGCAAGTTTGTGGCCGTCCAGTGTGACCGGCTCTGCGACAGCTTATTGAGCCCCCTCACAACTAAAGGCAGCCTCCAACAATCTTCAAGCACTGCTTGAAAACCTATGACTTCCGTCTATGACAACACACTCAGGGATTGACGCGAACAACTAGTGACGAGAGAACAATATGAGAGTAGAATTAGCAACAGTTCACGCAGGAACATGTGGACCACTCTTTTTGGAATTTGATTCGGAGTCTAATAAAATAAGTGTTAACGGCAGCGCTTTTTTCTCTTCATCTTTGTTGTTTTGGTTAGCTGTCAGCTAGGGCTGGGCAATAAATTGAAATTGTATCGTTATCAAAATTTCGGACTCTTATCATGATAATTTTTCCCATGTCGATAAATCTGATAATAAAAAAAATGAAAAGATGCGTGTGGATTGGCAGCGTTCATGTCCCTTTGAGAAGCTGTACCACCTTGAGTCGCGTAAATGGTGACTCAACGTAATACATGTGACAGCCCCATCTAGTGGACAACTTTTGTTTCTGCGCAGACCTGTAGTTATCGTCTATTTATCGTTATTGAGGTGAAATCATCAATATATCGTGATATTGATTTTAGGCCATATCGCCCAGCCCTACTGTCAGCTTTTAGTGACATATGCTTTTCAGGCGGTGTTCTCATGACGTTAGCTCGTTCTGCTAGAGTAGAGGTGGGCAGCTACAGTCCTCGAGGGCCGGTATCCTTCATCTTTTTGTTGTCTCCTTGTTCAGCAGCTCATCAAGCTCAGCAGAAGCCAGTTTACCACCTGCTGATTGAAATCAGGTGTGTTGAAACAAGGAAAACATTAAAACATGGAGGAGAGCGACCCTTGAGGATCAGGATTGCCCACCTCTTGTCTAGAGCAAGACGTCGTGCAGTGTGGCTCACTGAAATATTGGACTGTACATTGTGCCACCTCCTAGAGTTCTCACAGTGTGGCATGAGCAGTCCTGTGTGACAATCAAAAAAAGCATAGTGTGGTCCGGCCTTTAGAATTTTTCTGATCATGTGATTTTCAAACAATTGGAATTGGGTGAAAAAGATCAAATACATTGTATTGAAGACATTGTAGCCACAGATGCCCTGGCGTAATGATAGCGGCGAGGCTGCCGTACACAGGTATCCCCCCCCCCCCCCCCCCCGACCACCAACCGCAGACAAGGAGGGTGAAGTGGTTTGCTCAAGAAAACGATGACTGACATGACTTCAGGAGCCTGGGATTGAACTTGCAACCCACTGATTACAGGGCGAATTCCTAACATCTGAGTTACTGTCGTCCGCAAAGGATTCGCTTTAATTTTACTACATCGTTGCATGGTTGACAACTCTGTAACGCCACACAATTTATAGCAGGGTGGTAGATAAGGATGAGCCGTATACTTGTTTCAGACGAGAGTCCAGTACGGATAAAGCATTTTTGACGAGTACGAGCATGAAACGAGTGAAACTCGCAAATATCTGTAATCGTGCTGAAGGAAAATCCTCATTGGGTAACTGACTGTCTTCACGCTCTGTGATTGGCCAGTCAAATAGAGCGCCCGCCCCTCCCTACACACAAAACTCTGCAGCCGGGAGCTCACAGCTCAGTCCGCGCGCGCACACACACACACACACACACACACACACACACACACACACACACACACACACACACACACACACACACACACACACACACACACACACACACACACACACACACACACACACACACACACACACACACACACACACACACACACACAGTAGCAGATCTCTGTGCTTGCTTCACTGTTCACGTTTCTTCAGTACTCCCTATGTTTGCTTCAGTTTGCTTCTTTTTAAAGTTACTTTAAAGTTATTTATAGTTACTTTTTACGTAACGTACGTGGTGCATTTGACAAGACAGAGCTGAAAACGGCTCGTGCTGCGTCAGTCACGGCCTCCGCTCCGGTCGGGTTGTTTTTTTTCCTCTCTCTCCTCTTCCTCAGGATCCACTCCCTCTTTCCTATTCACTCTCTCTCTTTCTTTATATTTTTTAATCACAATTGTCTATTTTTTGCTAATTTTAAATATATTTTAATCATTTTCTAAATTCTTTTTTCTATTTTACATGTTTTGTCTTTGTGAAGCGCCCCGTGATTTTTATCTTGAGAGGCGCTATAGATAAGATCTTTTCTTCTCTCTGAGTCTCTCTCTCTTAATTCATGCACTTAAATATTAATGTTCTGATTTGATTGAAAAACTTGTTCTGTAATAGTTCCTTTATTATTGTGATCAAAAACATTTAATCTCAATTCTGAGGCTGCTCTGTAAATAGTTTTCAAATAAACAATACACATATCAACTTCTGATCAGACTTAAAATAACGTATTCATGTAAACCACACCCTCTTCCGGTTAAACTACACCCACTTCCTGGTTAGGCCACGCCCACTCCGAGTACAGATACATATAATTTAGATCTGTGGTTCCCAAACTTATTTAGCCGCGCACCCCCTTCTATGTCCCGACCATGTCGATGCACCCCCCCCCCCCCCCCCCCCCCCCACATCGGGGCATGGCTCTATACATATATATATCAGATGTCAAGCTAAACAGACAGGGTTAAAAAAATTCCCCATCACTTTCTTTTTTTAAATAGTAATTAATAAACATTCGATACCATTACAATTTCCTTTGATTTCATTTTAAATAAATATTTAGAGTGCCCAGGTAGCACATAAACAATGCAATTTAACGGTTTTCTTAAAGTAACGTTTAACCTGTGCGGCCAGAGCGCTCTCCTTCCTTCTGCTCTGCGTAAACCTGAACTGATCACCTACTTGTGCGTAATCAAATGTCTATAGGGGACAAGATATAGCCATGATGTTCACTTTTACCTCAGACCGACTTATTGCTGTTTTATGGTGTGGCTGAATCTGCGATCCGCTGCCACGCTGACTGGAATAACAAATGCTGCAGTGGACTTGTGGTCAGGTTCATGAGGAGTCACTGGCTGTAGCGGACCCGACTCATCCCAGAAGCTAATATCTTAATTTGACCTTGAATGAAAAATAACCTCTTAAAAGTTTTTATCATGGTGGAGGCAGCGTTCATTTCTGCCTTCAGTCTGACGGTGCGCCGGAGTTAAAGCAGCGTGCGCGCTTATTGAATCTGTGTGTGCGCGTCACCGCGTCTCGTTATTGGCGCTATTTAAACTTCTGCCCAGCCCAGATGTGCTCACATGTGCACCCGTGAGCCGTGGTTCCGCTGGAACGCGTCTGACTTCTGACAGACGCACTCTGAACTTCAGATCTTCAGCGTGCTGTTAATAGCCTGAATGGGAATCATTTCTTGTTATTTAGTTACATCCACAATGTTCTGTGTGTGAGGTTTACAATGTCAGAACACCTGCATGAGACAGGTGTTAATTACAATCTGCCAGAATGACTCACCACCTTCAGATTTCTTCAACACCGTTAAAAATGATCAAATGCGGAACATATCAGCGTGCGCAGGCCAGAGTGCTGAAGCTCGGCGCATTGTTATTATGAAGCTATGGCACATGTGGAGGACACGCACGCGCGCAAAAATATACTTGTTTTCAATTACATTTATTGTGCCCACTTACTTTTTCTTTGGTCCACCCACAAATGAGTTTCTACAATAATGGTGACACATGACAGACTTCTCTGAGCTCCGCAGCCATTACACTTTTCACCTCGCGCACCCCCTAGCGGCAGCTCGCTCACCCCCAGGGGTGCGTGCACCACACTTTGGGAATCCCTGATTTAGATGGTTGAACAGATACAGATAGTGGTGTACTCGCTCATCCCTAGTGGTAATTCAGACGTGTTACGGATGAATGTAAAAATCACCAGCAGAAAACAAATGTAGCATTTCCAGTGCATCCAGGGTGAAACAGGTTGTGGTTTAAAGGTCCTGTCAGACATAAACCCAAAAGGTGTAAATTATTAGGGTTTTTACTGGGAAGTATCTGGTGATACGTTAAATACCTCAGCACAGTGGAGACGGTACGAGTTATCACAATGCAGAGTTTAATTGGAAAACTCAGGCCCGACTTGTTCAAATAACGTCCGGTGTTATCATGAGAACTCACTTCTTCTGAATGAAGGTGGTAAGCAGTGCTGCCACCTAGCTGTTGGAGTTTGAATTGTGCCACACTAAAAAAATACAACAATACTTTGCATGTGAATCTCAATAAAATTGATACACTGCTTTTACATTTAGATTCAGTGTCATATCATGAAATATGATATTTCAGGTTTTTACATAGAATTTTACTTTAAAATGGGCAAACTATCCCATTTATTAATACTTTCTCATTCCAGCAACTTATGAAGCAATTTCAGGGCTGAGTTAGATAAACAAAACTTCATATTTAAAATGATACTGAAGTTTTAATTTTTACTGTCATTTTCTAGGACTTGACTTCTGCGCTCACCAAAAAAATCACCATGAAAACCCCGTTGGTGTCCTCCCCCATGGACACGGTGACTGAGGCAAACATGGCGATTGCGATGGCGGTGAGTTTCCGTGTGTGGTCGGACAACTGTGGGGTTGCTTAGTTCAGACACTGGAACGCTCATCACTGTTTTTTTTTTTCCAGTTAACAGGAGGAATCGGCTTCATCCATCATAACTGCACTCCAGAGTTCCAGGCTAATGAAGTTCGCAAAGTCAAGGTAGAGATAAGAACTGAGTGAATGATTTTTCTAGTTTAATTTCTCTTTTGTAATAGTTTCCATTTGTTCTTTCAGCTCCCCATCTTTCCTTTGTTTGTACCATATTTTCTTTCAGTTATATAAAATAGTCTTTATTTTGTATATTTCTCCTTAGTCTTTTCTGCATGTTCATCCAGTAGAGCCGTGCTTTTCTCAGCATGACTTGCTTCCCAGCTGTAGAATGAAGGAAGTTACTGCTTTTGTTTTCTTCGTTGCTCCTTCTCCTGCCCTAACTCTTCCACGTTCCCATTTTTCCTCGCCTCCTGCCCTCCCTCCCTCCCCCGTCTAGCGATATGAACAGGGCTTCATTACAGACCCCGTGGTGATGAGTCCCAGCGAGCGAGTGCAGGACGTCTTCCTTGCCAAGGCACGCCACGGTTTCTGTGGCATCCCCATCACAGACAATGGCAAAATGGGCGGCAAGCTGGTGGGAATCATCTCCTCCAGAGACATTGACTTCCTGAAGGAGGATGACCGTAACCTCCCACTGAGCGAGGTGAGAAAGTCAGGTTTAAGAAATTAGATTTTTGGTTACAGGTCCCAAAAACTGACCTGTTTTACCCAACATGCTGATTATTCAGACTCAAAAAAACTGGGTTAAAATCCATTATTCTGTTTTTATCAGTTATTCAGTGTTTTATTTTTTATGTATAAATAACCTGATGCTTCCGGGCAAAAGCATTACATGTTATGTTGAACAGTTTTGCTGTATTTTTGTTGAAATTTATCAAATTTTCAAAACTGAATCAGATTATTCTAAATAAATACGGTCATTGCAATAATCATATTTATGGTCAAAAGCAATTGAACCTATTTCTTTAAAATGAATTTTCTTAATTATCTCAGTTTATTCCAGAGGTCCGCTTTAAAATGATCGAGCCCATGTGGTTTTATCATGCTTGTTGTTTCCATCAATAAACCATAAAATGATCAATGTTTTCTTTTTTGTTGGATTTTTGTTTGACTAGGACAGCTCAGACAGCCGTCACACTTAATCAGACTTCTGCCTAATCTACGTTGGACCTTTGAGCTCTGGGGAAGTCTCGGACTGAAACCATCTTAGCTTTGAAAAATAAGAATAGAGCAACATTTTTGAGAGTTTAGGTCCAATTCTGCCGGCAGTTCAAGCTTTAATAAAAAGTTAAACTGCAACAGATACTTTGTTGGTGCAACTTACATTTTGGTGTCTTTTCGCTGTCAAACACAGGATTCATGATTCCTAACAAACACTAAAGTGATAAAGAAACACAGATGGAGGTGGGGATCCTGAGGACTTGTACTGGAGCTTTCTGAGTTAATGAGTGACATGTGACCTTAATAGCTCACATGATGGCTAACTGTGAAGTCTCCAATAGTTCATCACTCAGCACTAAGAAGTGAATCATCTTTTTTTTTTTTAAATGCAAAAGGTAACCTTGTCCCTGTTATCAGGTGATGACGAAGCGAGAGGATTTGGTGGTCGCTCCTGCTGGAGTGACTCTGAAAGAAGCAAACGAAATCCTGCAGAGGAGCAAGAAAGGTGACAACAATTCTACTTTTTCTTAGGAAAGTTACATTTATTTGATATTGATAAACAGAGTACGTTTTACTATGTGAAACAGATGTTTTTGTGTGTGTGTGTGTGTGTGTGTGGTTCTCCCTACAGGTAAGCTGCCCATTGTGAACGAGGAGGGCTCGCTGGTGGCCATCATCGCCCGCACAGACTTGAAGAAGAACAGAGATTTCCCGCTGGCTTCCAAAGACTCTAGAAAACAGCTGCTGTGTGGCGCCGCCATCGGAACGCACAACGATGACAAGTACAGACTGGACCTGCTGGTGCAGAGTGGGGTGGATGCAGTCGTACTGGTGAGGATGTTTGAGTGAGCTAATGGTCCCTTTTTTGGAAGTCTTTGCTGTTGCAGCTAGTTTAATCTGGATTAAGTTTAGTGCTTGATTTATGCTTCAAGAATTTAGTTTTGGTGGATAATGAGGATGCTTCTCTCACTAGGACTCCTCTCAGGGGAACTCCATCTTCCAGATCAACATGATTAAATATATTAAAGAGAAATACCCCCACCTGCAGGTCATTGGAGGAAATGGTAACAACAGCTTCCTGTATGGTGTTTTATTAGTCATGTGTTAATTATGATTTAGGTTATTAGTTTGTACTATATCATCAGTAATGATGTAAAGAGTTGTGTTGATTTTCCTCTCTCTGTGGCAGTGGTTACTGCAGCTCAGGCTAAGAACCTCATCGATGCGGGAGTGGATGCTCTGAGGGTGGGGATGGGCAGCGGCTCCATCTGCATCACTCAGGAAGGTGAGTGACTACCTGCTGCTCCACCCTGCTGTCACCTAGAAAACATCTCTGGTTATCTGGAGTCTGGTGGTTGTTGTGCTTAATTACTTATTCACAGGGATGCAGTCATGTATTTAATTATTGAGATATGTGATTGTTTGTTTTGCACTATCCTACATGGTACTACTGTAGATCATTGTTTTAATGTATATATTGTATATCATATTTCTATTTCACCTGTTCCTTTGTCTCTCCGACTGCTTTGAGCATGTACATGACACAAGAATTTCCCTCGGGATAAATAAAGTTGTTCTTATCTTATCTTATATCCTTTTGTTCCTCTCTGAAGGCTCTTCAGTGATTATTCTAATGATAAATGATAAATGATCCACACTTGTATAGCGCCTTTCAGAGGAAGGACTCCAAAGCGCTTTACACTACAGTGTATCATTCATCCATTCACACACACACACACACTAACAGGTGGTTTTGTGTTCATGTTGCTTTGGGACACTAATTAGAGTTTTGATTCTAGCGTGTGTGGTTGGATCACCTCTGAAGCTCATGATGAATTTAAGTTTGGTTTTTACTGCAGAATTAATACGTTTCTGTCAGGAACGTGATTTAACGATCATGTTGGATGGTTTGTTTTGATCCGTCTTTCAGAAATGCACTTATTTGTGTCGTTTGTGAAACAAATGGCTCTGAATTTAGAATTGTATTTTTGGTCTTTGACTTTAAATATTTTTAAGTCATTATCAGTGCTTGAGTTAAACATTTATTTTTAAACATTCACCTTGTTTTCCTGCCTACTTCTTCTCAATGTCTGTTGTCTCCCCCTGAAATTCCCTCTCCGACCTTGTTTGGTGTGTGTGTGTGTGTGTTTGAATCCACACCCAGCCCCTCCCATTGTACCACCAGCTATAAAAGCCCACAGCCCCAAAACCCCAACTGCTGTTACAGGATACTGCAGTAAGTCCCCCTGCTGGCTTGCAATGAGCCCTGATTGGCTCTGTTATCACTGTTGGTCCCTCCTACTTCACAGCCTGCTGCACTGATTGGTTAACAGCTTTTGCATCTGTAGACATAGCTTTGGAAAGCTGGGTTTTGGGGTTTTGGGTTTTTTTGCTCGTATTTGTTCCAACATTAATCTATTAATCACCAAAGAGTGAACGGTGTTGGTCCGTCCACCTTACTGACCTTTTGGTGTCTGGTTTGGATGTAGCCAGATGTTTGGATACCAAAGGGTCAGATTAAGGCATCTGTTTCTAACAAACACTCCTTATGTGGAACGTCAGCAGAGGGTTGAATAACTAACTGAAACTTAGAGCTGCTGAGATATTTAAGTTTTATTTTTTAACCAGAAGAAAAAAATGAACTAATTTGATGACACGCTGATTATTGAAATGAAAAAGTAAACATCCCTTTTCATGTATTTGTAGTTGAAGTGTTTTTAGAAACACAAAAATCAAACTTTTGTTGGGTTCTGGTAAACGGAGGCAGATGTGTGATTTGGGTTTTTGGAGATGGTTCAATTTTCTTGCTGATATGACAGATTTAACTTCCTCATTCTCACATTTAACAAACATTAAGAAACCCGTTGTTCATTCACTGAGTGACTTCCTGGAGTTTTAATTATGCATGTACTCCGTTCATCTAGCTGAATGAGACAGCAGCTTTTAGAGTGGAAAATGTGAGACTGGAACTAAAGATGATGTGTCTGGTTCTGATGAAGCGTCTAACATTGCCTCCACGCTGTCCAAGTTGACTGGTAACATCTACCTTGTCGTTTCTGCCCTCGCAGTGCTGGCATGTGGCAGGCCCCAGGCCACGGCTGTTTATAAAGTGTCGGAGTATGCGAGGCGTTTTGGAGTACCGGTCATCGCTGATGGTGGCATCCAGACTGTCGGCCAAATAGCCAAAGCCCTGGCACTGGGAGCATCCACAGGTACAAATGCAAAGTTTTACTTAGTTTTTAAATGAATCTTAATCAAAAGTACTTTTAAGTAGCAATTAGAAATAGTTGTGACAAATGGGTCTAGATAGGAGAATCATACACAATCAATAAAACAGCCCCATCTAGTGGACAAACCTTTATCTTTACCTGTAGTTAACATTCATTATCATTAACCAAGTGGTGAATGGCCCATAATATGGTTATTGGTTTGAGACTATATCAACTGGCCTTGTGAAAAACTGTGTATCACCATCACAGGTGACTGTAACAGCAGTAACGGGGTAGACAAATTCCTTTCCTGAGGGCTGGCATCCAACAGGTTTTAGTTGTTTCCCCTGCTTCAATACACCTGATTTTAATCAGCAGGGTATTAACAAAACTTCTGCAGAGCTCCATGAGCTGGTGAACAGGTGACTCAAGTGTGCTGGAGCAGGGAAACAGCTAAAACACGCTGGATACCAGCCCTCTGTTGAGAGAGTTGTCTACCCACTGCCTTCTAAACTCTCTTGTTCTTGGTCCAGTGATGATGGGTTCTCTTCTGGCTGCAACCACCGAAGCTCCAGGTGAATATTTTTTTTCCGATGGCATCAGGCTGAAGAAATACCGCGGCATGGGCTCCGTGGATGCCATGGACAAAAACCTCGGCTCTCAGACCAGATACTTCAGGTACAGGAATCCAAGCAGAGGAATCACGCTGGTCACACGTTCCATCCTGCTGTGCATGAAGGGACTGAGCTGTGCCAGTTTCCCCCAGCTTTCAATCTTTCTTCCTCATTTCAATTTCTGCGGTTTATAAATGTCCCAGTCCTGTGGCAAAGAGTGATGAGCCTGCTGGAAAAGAGCAGCAGACAAGGCCACAGTCATATGAAGATGTCAGAAGTTTAGATTGATTCAGTTTTTAATAAATCCAGATTAACGATGCAAGAGGAAGCAGGCTGTGGAAACCCGTTTCTTCTTCTCTGTGATAAGAGCAGCCCTAAAACTACATTAGCACAAGCTCCAGCCCTCACCCGACCCTTAGGTTAGAACCTGTCTAGTTGGCTTAGGTGTCATCCAACCTCTGGCAAAGTGCTAAAGGACTGCCTTGACCTCATTTATCTTGTGTGACCTGGGCTGAAGTACACTCACGTTGCCTCCCTCTCCCTCACAGTGAGAGTGACAAGATTAAAGTTGCTCAGGGCGTCTCTGGGGCCGTGCAGGACAAAGGCTCCATCCACAAGTTTGTGCCCTACCTGCTGGTTGGTATTCAACACTCCTGTCAGGATATCGGTGCCAAAAGCCTCACACAACTCAGGTAAGCGCATGTATCTAGCTGAAGCAGTCACTAATCTTGAAATATAGTGACCCAGCATTAATGGGTTTTGCATCTTCCTCATAGTGCCTGGTGTCAAATCTGCTTTTTCTCCCCTCCAGAGCTCTGATGTACTCTGGAGATCTGAAATTTGAAAAGAGAACAGCCTCGGCTCAGGTGGAGGGGGGAGTCCACAGTCTGCACAGGTACAACACCTAACGACGTCTGAACTCATCAATGTGTCCAGCGTAGACTAATCATTGTCTTAAACATTCTTACTTTCGTGTCTTGACCACAGTCAGACGTGTCTTAAGTTAAACTTCCTCTTGTGATTTCATTCTTTGCTGCTGCGTCTGTCATAACCAGAAACCTCAGTGGTTGTCGTGTGATCTCTTCTGTCTCCCAGTTATGAAAAACGGCTTTTCTGAGAAGAGCCCAGATGGAAAATCCTTCCGACAAACACTATTTCCCTGAATCCCAGTCTCCACGCCGCTAACTTCAGGATAAAGTGGTTCACTTCACTCTTCCAAAGATCCATCAGTCTTCCTGCCGTTGTCACCTATGCATTGTTTAACTGTGTGTGTCAGAGAGAAAGAAGAGGAATGAGCATTGGTCAATTAGTGCATGCATGACTGGTATGTTTTTAAATGTAGCATGTAAACTGCTGTGTCTGTGTCAAAGAAAAAACATTGTTCACCAATAAAGTCTGTATGTTTTTCCAGAAGTTGTCTCTTTGGCTTCTCTGCTTAGTGATTTTATACTTGAACAATAAAGAGGCAGTTTACCAAGTTTGTCTCACTGGGTTCTTGTTACCTCAAGAGATTCATATCCTAGAGACATGTTGCAGCTTGTGTCTGAGAAAATGTCCCTGCAAAGAAAAAAAAAACAGTTTCAGTTCAGGTGGAGGGCTGTTGAGTCTAAATTCACTCAAACGTATAACAGCCATCCATCTATCCACGCTGTGAGAAGCTGGCCCAGTCACCGATCAAATATCAAACGTGACTAAACCTGCGGAGATTTTAACTTCAGATTGTTACTGTGGGGTAAACCGTAAATCTGGAAGGTTTGAGCCCAAACTAACATGGTTTAGTAATGCTGCCACATTTACGCTGGTAAAGAATATACTAAAAGCCCACTTAACAGGACAATACTTAGTATGCAGATTTAAGTGTTCTGCCCTGGAGCGATGCCAAGTTTGCACTGATCAAAGACTAAACGATCACCTCCAGCCTTCCTGATCTGAGGCCTCCAGGGAGGATCGGATGCTATTCTGAATCTACAGGACTTTCCAGGCTGAAACCCAGACGGACCTGGCGGGAGTCTCCTCGTCATGCTCTGTTGGTTACACCACCTGTGGCACATCGTCCACCATGGATCGCAGACACTTCTAATTAAGAGATGATATCATTAAATAAAGGCATGTTTGGAGGCTTCAGTTTGCAAAATATAAAGTTGGGGTGAAATAACGACCGCTCACTTTACAACACTTGGACGCTGCTTTTATTACAATTTCAGTTATTCTTAGTGATGACCTAAAACTTTGTTTTAGCCCTCAGAAAACAAATCTGGATGTGTCCTGTAGAAAAATACCGCTTTTACATACTAAACTCTGAGTAACCTATCTTGGAAAAAACACACCTAAATTAGTACACAGGCATAAGTAAATATGTGTTGGAGCCATTAATGCATGCAAAATAAAATGCACTTAACTATAACTAAGACAAAATACCAAATGTGCTTACAATACTTGTATTTGTATATGTTTAAGCAGTAATAAACAGTAAACTAACTGCACTGATTTGACTTAGTTGAAGAAACTTGCATTAAATTGCATTTTACTTTGTGGTCACTAATGTCTCCCACACAACGCGAGTACTAAATATTTTCAGTTCAGTTGGTATGCTGTTTTTTAAGGTTTACTAATCAGATTTTACAGTGCACACAACCCATACACACCATCTTTAAAAAGTAATTTACCTTTTGGGTTAAGAAACCAAAGATGCAGAAGTCTGTTATTGCAGAAAAATTGATTTAAAAAGCTTGTTTTATTATTTTTGTTCTAATCTGAAAGCAGAATTATATTTTGAAATTTAAAAATGTGATTTAAAATGTGAATCAAAACTACTAACCTTTGAGAAGATAAGAAAAACATCGAATGATCAAAGATATGAAAATTAAAAAAAAAAAACAACAACCAAAAGAAACTGATTTAAAGCAATTTACTTAAAAGGTTTTTACTTAAATAGAGGGTGTAAAACAGAAGACTAATCCCAAAAAGATCATTTATAAAGCAGCTTAAGATTTCTGGATCTTTTAGGGTTTGCGATATGATGAATACAGATGAAAATCTGAATTTTCTGTAACACTTTAGAGTAAGGGTCCCATTATTAATGTCACTTAGTGCATTATTAGGTATTAATAAACTACTGAATCAAGTACTAACTAGCAACCCCCCCCCCCCCCCCCCCCGGCCCTTTGCTCTAACCTTAAGGACATTAATTAATGATTAATGAGTAACACTAATTAAGGGACCCTTTTTTTTTATTAATGCTTAATAATTAAGTAACATTTATCAAGGGCCCCTTTGTTTATTAATGCATGATAATTAACTAAGTAAAATTATTAAAGGGACCCCTTGTTTATTAATGCTTAATAATTAACTAAGTAACATTTATAAAGGACCCTATGTTTATTAATGCTTAATAATGCACCAACAGTAATAAAGGGACTCTTTGTTTATTAATGCTTAATAATTGACTATGTAACATTATTAAAGGGACTCTGTTTCTGTTTAACACATAATAATGCACCAAGTAATGGTAATAAAGGGACCCTTTATTTATTACACTTAATAATTAACTAACATCAATAAAGGCACCCTGAATTTATTAACACTTAATGATGCACCAAGTAATGTTTATTAATGCTTAACAATGAACTAGGTAATGTTAAAGGGACATTATGGAAGTTTGACAGCCAAAACATGTATAGAAATATTAAATGTCTTCTTCATACATTCTCCTGCAATGCCCTGGTCCTGTAGAATGAGCCCTGGCATTTTTACTGTGATTGCCTGTTTTTCTGTAAAATCACAGAAAAAGAGAGATGCTCGGGGCGAGCAGGCTGCTTCATGCGCGTTCACGCTCAGGCATAGCCCGTAGCATTTGCTATCCGTAGCTTTAGCAGCAGAGAGAGAGGCAGTGCCAACTCAGCCACTTTGCCGCTGTTTCTAACGCCTAGTGATGAACCTAGCTACATTTCTGAGGACCCTTAGCTACTTTCTTCTAGATATTTCCTGCAAATTAGCAACAAAATAGCCATGTTCGCTTCGAACCGTTCTTTAAATGTTGTTTCAGCTGTCATCAAGGATATAAAAGTTACAGATACATAAGATGTTACTGGTGCTTTAGCTCACCTAGTAAGACGATGGACTGCTGTCCGGAGAATTCGGGTTCGAATCTAGATGTGAACTAAATTTATATAGAGTTTCTTTTTTACATTACTGGTATATTTTTTTACAGTAAGATGCCCAAATTTTTATTTGAGACTCGCCGAATGGCATTGAATTCACAGATAAAAAGATGTGGGTTCAACTTTCATTTTGGAACAATTTTTCAAGCAAGGGAAGGGAATGATCTGAGCATGCAGGAGCACTGACCCATCATAAACCTTTGTCGGCTGTGCTGAAGAGAAAGGTACAGAAACAAATTATTTAATTAATTAGCTGCACATTCTCCTGTCCTCTGTCCTCCAGGCCACACACACACACACACACACACACACACACACAGAGCTGCTGTTATTTTCGTTAAGGAGTGTGCACGTACAGCATGCGCGCCTCGTGCACGAGCCTACTATTTAAGCTGCCGTTACGCTTTTGGCCTGAGGGGGCAATCGCGAGCATAAAAATTCAAAACTCCATAAAGTCCCTTTAATAAAGGGACCCTTTATTTATTAATGCTTAATTATTAAGTAACATAATAAAGGCATCCTTTGATTATTAATGCTTAGTAATGCAATAAGTAATAACTAAAAGACCATTTGTTTTTTAATGCTTAATAATGAACTAGGTAATGTTAATAAAGGGACCCTTTATTTATTAATGCTTAATTATTAACTAAGTAACATTAATAAAGAGACCATTTGATTACTAATGCTTAATAATGCACCAACATTAATAAAATGACCCTTTGTTTATTAATGCTTAATAATGCACCAAGTAAAATTAATAAAAGCACCTTTTGTTTATTAACGCTTAATAAATGACTACCATTATTACAGGGACCCTTTGTTTATTAACGTTTAATAATGAACAAGGTAATATTAATAAAGGAATCAGATCATGACACTAATATGAAAATAAATACTTTAAATTATTTAAACCACGTCAGTAACTTCAGGTTTTACAAATACACGTAACCACTGAAGCAACATTAAAGTCCAATGACTATTTAATAATGTTTTTGTTACTAAAAAAGCAAAATGTGACTAGATAGAGGCTGCGTTTCTCCTCAGAGAAGGAGGGAGGTGTTGGATAACGGAAGGATAGGAGGAGTTCTGCCACTCAGGAGAAGCGAAAGTGAAATAAATCTCTGGAGTATTTAAAGAGGAAGTTGGGACTGTCGGTGTTGTTGGCAGTGAGGACTGCTGAGAACGACAAGCTGCTCCGAGATGGACGGGTGAGCTGGAAACCATTTCCTATTCCTCACACTTCCCCTCTCACTTACACACTTAGATTAGAGTTGTTTTGATAGCTGCTCGTGTGCGTTCACTTTGTTTTTACTCCGTTTTTTATTCCTCTGTCAGTCATCCTACAGCTTTATTCTTCTTATGTCTTAAAACGTGTTCCTCTTTAATGTTTCAGGCTCTGAACTTTGTCTAAACAGGAATTCCTTGTTGCTCCACACATCTGACGGCTGCTGAAGTAGAATTGTTTTGTTTTCTCATCGAGGATTGAGGTGCAGGCGACAAACTGAAAGTATGTATGTGCTGCTGCTGTCGATCTGCGTTTGACTCATCTTTTCATCTCATTGGAATCTGCCGAGAACATAAAAAGTTCAGGTTTTATTAAATTAGGCTTTAAGATTTAAATCCTTTCCTTATTTGTTTTGTCTTTAAAGCCAACTCCTCTCTTTTATCACTTTATCAGCTCTTCCTCATCACACTGACCTCCTGCACTGCCTCCCTTTTCTTGCTTTCCTTTTCTTCTGATTTGAGATAATACACAACAGGTTTTTCAAGACAGAGCACTGAAAACAGAACGGTGTCTCTTATAACTTCATAATTAGCCATCATTCTCTTCAGAAAAGGACAGCGCTCAACAATAATCCAAAAAACCTGACCTGAGGTTTGCGTTTTTTGTTTTTACCCATTTGAATAATTTCTGCGTTAACGTTTTGAGTTTTGGACAGATGAGTGAATCTCCAGACACGAAGGAGAGTCACTGCTTTGGTATTTTATCCAAATCTAATCTGTTCCTGTACATGTAGGTTGTTTACAACGACCCAAAGATATTTAAGTTACTTTGACCCCTTTACCCTCCGACTGATCAGCAGCAGCCTCCAAATTTCTTAAATTAAGCAACTTTGCTTGTGTTTGTTGTTAAAATAAAATGAATTCAGTTTGATTTTCTGCAGAAATCATAGTGAAGGGCTGAAAGTGACTGAGGTTTTTCTCCTTTATGAATCTAAAGTTATTTGTTAGTGGATAAAACTAGAAAGGGTA